GACTACGTACCCGACGTGACCGACAAACACAAAAGACCTAGACACCAACTTTTTGACCCTGGGTGACCACCCCAATGACCCCCCCCCTGCCCGCTAACCTTTTCTGTTTCAGAGACAGCCAGGATCAAGAAACGAAGACAACGACACACACACACACACACACACATACACACCCCCATACCCTCCTTACCTCTCCCTTCCCGCGCTAGCTTAAGGGCCACCTTAGCAAAGCGCATCCCAGGCTGCATAGCCGCACTACCCTACCCAACCATACCACACATAAACATGACACTACCCCCGGGGTTTACACAGACGAGCCGGCGAAGCAAGAAGAGCGCCAGAAGAAAGGGCCCTAGCCGGCGGGGCCCAGCCAGGACAAAAGGAGGTCCCACAAAGCGCCTACACCGGCCGCATTTGCGGTCGGGGTAGACGACGGATGGGGCCCACCTACGAAGGCTGTCCAGACCTACACGAGATGAGGCAGGATAAAGAGGGATAATCCCCCTCGATCCCAAATCATTGAGGCCAATTTCTAGCCATGGAATAATGGCGCTTCCTCCATGTAAAACGTATATGCTCTAAGAGTATTAGTGACTGAATAAAGTATTATGACGCCATCACCTCATTTTTAACTTAAATATGAAGAAATTAAAATTAAATAGCCTAAACGCCTAAAATAACGGTTAAATACATAATTAAAACGTCGCTAAGTTACAATAAGTTTAACATCGTTAAATATCTTATCAACCAGTTACTCCTCTATCCAATTTATACTTTATGATCTTGAGTCAAAATGACGTATTCAAATCAAACTTTCGCCTAGTTATTTTGTCTGTGATCAAAGTATCACATAAATTTGACGAAAATTTATAGTTTGATTCGGGTACTGCAGGATTTAATTTCATATGGACCCTAAAATTTCCTGCATTTTTCTGCTATCGGTTGCCAGCGATGACATAAAATTGAAAACTAAATAATTGGTAACCCTATCGGCCATATTCTGTGGGTTGGCCAGTGGCCAGCGGAGCCGTCGTTCCACGTGTCCACGGACCGGTCCTCGACCCAACGACCTAGAAAGCTGAAATGGTCTCAAACGGACGTACCGAAACGCACTTCATGCTACGAAACACAAAAGTTCCGCGCTGCATTCTGAGCGGAGCGCCTCCTTCGACGCTCAATATATTCACGATTGTCATCTAGCGGTGGGTGCTGATTAAAACGGTTAATGTCCCTTGAGGTCCTCAGAGAAAATTTAATATTATTTCGCTGGTAGAATCAATGATGCGATTCATCCTCACATTTTTTGTCTTAAACCAGCCTTAAGAAATACTCCTTCATGCCCATTTTCGCTGGCATCAGTATTGTCTTGAGAAATCTGTTAGGGTTAGGTAAAAGTAAAAGGTCGTTATAATATGAATATTATTTTTGTTTAAACCGGCTCTACACTCGCAGCGAGGTTCACTTTGTCGATCAACCTTAGCGTCAAATAGTACACTCACAATTCGACTTTTGCAAAAAAAAATACAGACATCGAAAGGAAAACTAGTGAGCGTGAAAATCTACAGGCGCGAAAACTGTCTATACTCATAGATCTTCACGCCGAGAGTGTAGAACTGGCTTTAGAATTTGCAAACCTTATTTGCTCTTAAATTGGAGAAAATAATAATTGTAGGAAAAAATTCTGAAAGATCATATTATAAAAATAAAAGAGAAACTCGAAAAAAGTCCTATCCGCGAAATTATTGCAAATTTGTCTAAAGGAACATAATACAAGACATCTCTCTTCTCGTGAGTCAAAAACTTTTATTAGCTAACTTTTCTATTTAAACAAATAAGTGAGGAAAACAGTTTTTTCACTATGCAGAGAAAACCATAAATTTTAGCGAAAAGTGACTCACAGACAGCTTATAGGGAGTAAAATTATCTACAAAATGAGACTGGTTAAATTAAAATCGGTTAATAAACAAAAAAGTTATTGCAAAAAAACAAGAAAAGTGCCCATTTTTTAATTTGTTTATAACTATCGCATTTATTGTTAAAATTTTATAAAACCTATGACAAGTTGAGGGTTTTGTCATACTTTAAAAGTGTGCCAAAAGTGGGCGCTGTAGGTGCAATAGTTTTCGCACAATTCTATTTGTTTATAGCGGAGGCTCCAAAAGTTATGAACTTTAAGCCTCTGTACAGACGTTAATTTTCAATCAAACATGATTCTGAAAGCGTCATTGTAATCTTAAAGACGCAATTAAGCGACCTATTAAAAAATATCACCGTTTTTTTGACATTAACATTCTCAAATTGTGCATTAAAAAACCGTGCGTTTTTCGCTTATAAACAATTTGAATAACATTGTTGCTATTTATGCTATCTCACCGAAAATAGGTGCAATGGATAGCTGGAAAAAAAATACAGTTTTAAAATAAAAAAAGTGCCCTCTACGACCAACAGGAGCCAAGATAAGAATCTTTTTTTAAAAAATCGTAGCGCAATTGTTTATAAATATTAAGACTTGAATTTTTCGCAAAATAAAGTTTACGACGTAAACTACGATTTCCCGTGAATTGCATTGAAAAATGTGGAAAATTAACGACTCACGAGCCCTTTAAAGAGAAGGTACTCGCTAAGTAAACTGTCCGGCGGCCGGCGGCGTGGTGGTGGGGGAAGTGCGCGCTGTAAATTTTGCAATATCTCGGCTTCTATTCATCGTAGAAACTTTTTTTTTTTTTAAACTGGGGTAGCTCGACGAAAAAATAACAATGGGCATATTTACGAATTCGTAGAATAGCCCTGAACCCCAGAAAAAATGCATCTTTTATAATTAATTTTTTTTAATTTACAAAAATGTCACAAAAATTATTGTTAAACGAAATATTAATTAAAATTTCAATTTCGGAATTATTTTACTATTATTAAATAAATAAATGAAGCTATCGTTCATTTAAAAAGTTATTTCTTTTACATATTAAGGCAAAGTAAACTTGTTTTTTCAATATTTTGTTAGCTATTTAATTACGATTTAAATGTAAAATTAAAGTAAAAATCCATAAATTATTTTCAAATTATTATTTCTCATAAAAATAGAAAAAATTTTAAATTTTAAATTGTATTATATTGCATTATTTATATCTATTATTGAAAATGGTTGTGATTAATATTTTTTGAATTAATTTTGATTATGTTTATAAAATTAGTAATAAATATAATAAAAAAACTTTATATATTAAAATTTCAGGAAGTTAAAATTGTAATTTTATCGACCGCGTTATTTTTAATATTTTTTAATTTTGAGAATTTTGCAATAAATTCAAATGCTTTTTATTCTTTTTTAAATCTTTTAACAATAAATAATAATTTGAAAATAATTTGTGAATTTTTACTTTAATTTTACATTTAAATCGTAATTAAATAGCAAACAAAATATTGAAAAAACAAGTTTACTTTGCCTTAATATGTAAAAAAATAACTTTTTAAATGAACGGTAGCTTCATTTTTTATTTAATAATAGTAAAATAATTCCGAAATTGAAATTTTAATTAATATTACGTTGTGACATTTTTGTAAATTAAAAAAAAATTAATAAAAGGCATTTTTTCTGGGGTTCAGGGCTATTCTAATTCGTAAATATGCCCATTGTTATTTTTTCGCCGAGCTACCCTAGTTTAAAAAAAAATAAGTTTCTACGATGCAGCACGCATCAATTTGAACTTTGGTTTACTTAGCGAGTACCTTCTCTTTAAAGGGCTCGTGAGTCGTTAATTTTCCACATTTTTCAATGCAAATTCACGAGAAATCGTAGTTTACGTCGTAAACTGTATTTTGCGAAAAATTCAAGTCTTAATATTTATATTTAATTGCGCTACGATTTTTAAAAAAAAATCTTATCTTGGCTCCTGTTGGTCGTAGTTGCATCTATTTTCGGCGAGATGGCATAAATAGCAACAATGTTATTCAAATTGTTTATAAGAGAAAAACGCACGGTTTTTTAATGCACAATTTGATAATGTTATGTCAAAAAAACGGTGATATTTTTTAATAGGTCGCTTAATTACATCTTTAAGACTACAATGACGCTTTCAGAATCATGTTTGGTTGAAAATTAACGCCTGTACAGAGGCTTAAAGTTCATAACTTTTGGAGCCTTCGTTATAAACAAATAGAATTGTGCAAAAACTGTTGCACTTACAGCGCCCACTTTTGGCATACTTTTGAAGTATGACAAAATCCTCAACTTGTCATAGATTTTATAAAATTTTAAAAATAAATGCGATAGTTATAAACAAATGAAAAAATGGGCACTTTTCTTGTTTTTTTGCAATAACTTTTTTATTTATTAACCAATTTTAATTTAACAAGTCTCATTTTGTAGATAATTTTACTCCCTACAAACTGTCTGAGAGTCACTTTTCGCTAAAATTGATGGTTTTTCCTGCAAAGTGAAAAAACTGTTTTCCTCATTTATTTGTTTAAATAGAAAAGTTAGCTAATAAAAGTTTTTGACTCACGAGATGAAGTTCCTTTAGACAATTTTACAATAATCTCGCGGATAGGACTTTTTTCGAGTCAAAATTTAATTTGCTTGATCTATATATATACTCATACTCTAAGTACATTGAACGTTCAGTAAAGGTCACAAATACACTACTATACTATAATTTAAAATAAATGCTTTAAATTAATGCCGCTTTAAATGGCGGCATCAACGTTGATTGAAATATTCTGTTCAGTCAAGGGGCGCCAATCAAAATGCTGTGACGTTATTGTCGTCACTGTGTTTTATAAAGTCCCTGTATGATTTTCCACATGTGCGACCATCTTTCGGTTATTTAAGTTATGAATTTTTTAATAATAATTATTTCCAGTTTCCTGCATTTCCGTATCGTGAAAATGTTATTTTTAGCTGTAAAGTTTAGATGGCACGACTAGTATTAAAATAAAAATCTGCGTTATCGGTTAATACACTTCCATTTAAATCAACAATAAGTCGCTAGATTACGCTATTTTTTCTTGGTTGGCTTGCTTTTTTTGCCGAAAAATTGAGAAATTTGCAAATTGGAAATTTCTCACAATCAGTGTCTTTTTGTATAATTCGGTTTCCATACCTAAATGTTTTAGTTTTTTTTTGTTAGCGTACAATGTAAGTAGCTGCACCTGAAAAGTGTACATAATCAAAATCATAGAATCCGGTAGTTTCCTCAAAAAGCTTTTCATCTGTGCATTGTTTTTAATTTGAGACTCTTTTTAGTGTATCAACATGACTTCACCACGTATAGGACCCAGTCCAAATTTAATTCAGAATATGTAAGTTGTTATCATTATTAAGGTTATGAGTGTACATCGTTTTACATTTGCAGCAATTATACAGGAAGTGAAACTGAATTTTCCACTGAAGTAAAGGGACAAACTGTAATAGTTCATAGTAGTCAAGGAATTCATAACCACGGAAGTTCAAAAGTGAAGTTGAGCGATCGTATTGATTATAACTGGGAATTTCGTTATTACTACGGGCATCTTGTTGCTGCTCATATTAATGGAAAAGTTATCGCATTTGGAATGAAAGGTGCTAAAAGTGCTACTTTTTTTATTTCTATTATATACTGAATTTATGTTTAAGGCAAGGATGGAGGAATGGTGAGAGTGACGAATCAAGAAACAAATAACAGAACATTAATAAAGAATTTAAAGGAAGATATTAAAGATGTCTCTTTTGCATATTCAAGAGAGGACATCGTGCTTGGCTGTGTTGACAGTGAGGGGAACATTTTGATATATCAGATAGATGACATGCCACATTCTATATCGTATCCTTTTGCTTAAAATAAAAGTTAACGTAAATCTGGAGATAGAATTTCCTTAACAATAAATTTAGTTATACACTACTTCTACATATTTATCACCATGGCAATAAACCCAAGACTAATTTTAGGCTTATATGGTGTCCGTATCTGCCTAGTTTCGACGATGACGATGCTAGTGATGATCCTGCTGAAATGTTTGTAGTTTTAAGTGGAAATAGAGGTAAGAATATTTATTTTTTAAATAATTTGTTTTGTAAAATATATATCAGTATAATAAATTAAAATTAATTAAAACAATTTGTCATATGATTTTTTTTTAATATTTCGGAATTTATCTATGTTTATTGTATTTTACGGAATATGTGTATAGCGTATATATTTATTTATTAGCGGAAGTATTCAATGTGTCCCTTGTAACGAGTAAGCATGGGAAGGGCCCCGTAGACCCCGACGATTCTTATGAAGGTTATATAGAACTGAATCATACTGCAGAATTAGTAGATGCGTCATTCTCGTCGGACGGCAATGCTATCGCTATTGCTTCGTCTGATGGATGCGTGAAGTTCTTTCAGGTATTTTCTAATTAAATTGGCAATTAATAAAATGTTTAAAACTACCAACAACTTTCAGCTGTATATGGGAGACAAGGAGAAGAAGAAATTCCTACATTCTTGGCAACCGCATAATGGGGATCCCCTGTCTTCCATTATATTTATCGATAATGTGTTGGAGTACAGCTCAGAGTAAGTAGTGATGTTTGTAATATATTATTGTGTTCTTTTAATTGCATTTCGTTTCATTTGGAAGAAGTTTTAATTATCAAACTGAATCTTGTCTTCAAGGTGTTGGAAATTTATGATTACGGGTGCCAATAACAACTCGGAAATAAAATTGTGGTCTTGTGAAAGTTGGGCCTGTTTGCAGACAATCCATTTTAAAGTTAACCCGACCACCCCTATCACCAGCCTGTTTATGAACATAGCCATTGATTTTTCTGGGCAATATCTTGTGATATCCGATATAAATAACAGAGTTTTATATGTAATGCAATTGAAACGAAACGATAAAGAACAAGTGGTGCAGGTAATATCGCTAGCTCAATTCTTGTTACCTGCACCTTTCCTTAGTTTTCACATATTAGAAGCCTCGAATCGTAAAATTCCGTACTCATACAATAATAGCAATGAGGATTTGTACGATGATCACGACGACTATGATGAAGACTCGGAAATAACTATTATTTGCTTGAAAATGCTTGTAATTCAGCCAAAGAAATTCCAAGAATGCAATATCACGTTTCAACCGGATGCACTGTTTTACAATACCCTGAATTTATCTATTAAAGAAAACCTGTGCGAAATAGAAGAAACAGATAAAGTTCCTAAATTAGATGACTTGCAGAATTCTGTAACGTTATTGATACAACAGCAAAGTAACAAATCTAACCTCACGTTAATGACGCCCGACGATTTTACTTCTCCTGATGACAATTCCCGTCCCAACAGTGTAAAGAATTCATTGTTGAATGAAGACGAGCCTTCAGTCGATCAATCCGTGGAAAAGTTAACGGAGAATGTGGTGGACAATTTGATTGATTTCCAAAGACCGCAGAAAGATAACTTTGCTAGTGGCGGTTCGAGTCCAAGTCGAGAAGTACAAGAAATTTTATCCCTCAATAATTCAAACTATAGCAATCAAGATTACTTCGACAGCCTTACAAAATTGCAAGACGAACAAGAAGAGCCCCAGAAAGACTATAACAATCAAAGTGAAAATCTAATGTATCAGGATAACATCGGTTCCGAAATGGTGTGGCCTAAAATACCCGTCGTTAAGGAGACTCAGATTATTAACGATGAAACCTTACGAAAGGAATTAGGTTTGAGCAGTGCTGAGAATATGTCACAATTACAAGCGATCAATTATAGAATAAGCAGTCTGGAAAGCATAATACGGGAACAGAATATACTCATCCAGAAACTTCACCAGGACCGTATCGATAAAGACGAGCTTATTAAAGAATTAGATTGTTCGTTGTCCAAACACCATTTACAGGTGGCAAAATTGCTGGAGAACCTCATCAATAAGCAAAAGACTAAAGACAGGGAGTTACAGGAACAAATTATTTCGACCGTGAATCAATTGATTACAAAATCATTGTCGGAAAACGTTCAACAAATCGTGACCCAGGAAATGAAACTGATCTCACCTGCCATTCACAGCTTAATAGATTCCTACAGACATCAAGTAGATACACAGTACTCACAGAAGTTAGCAGTTACTGATATGATGCTTAAAGACAATATTTCCAAAGCTTTCAATAGCAAGGTAAGAGTAAATTTAAGTACATTTTTCCACCCGACTCATTTCTTCAACAAGAACAAGGTGTATATCAATGTGGGAATTTATTAGAGAATTTCTCTAATTATAATGGAATTTTTTCAAATTTTGATTCTGTGACTTCTATCTGTAACGTCTGCATCATATGTTTGCTTGTAGATTGCGGTAAAATTAGTTTAAGGGCAGCTTTTTTACTTCTTAAATCGTAAAATGCAGAAAAGTCTATGTAATTTCAAAGTTAGAAGCTAGAAATTTTAAACACCGCTGAAATTATAAATAACGGATATATATTATTGGAAACTAGAATGTTCAATTTAGGTATTGTTAGTATTTGTGTTGCCAAAAGATGACGATTTAGAAAACGTTATTAAAATGATGGTTTATCTGAAATATCAATGTAAACTTTTATAATTTGTTTAGTTTGTACAAATAAAAAATAAAGAAATAGAATTCAATTCTGACCTAAGTTCAAGCATTATATATATTTTATTGCAATCGAATAAAGTGTCAGTTGTTTTTAAGTAAGAAAGAAAAATACATGTAAAAATGTAGTTACGAGCTCCGTGAACTAGTTATCATTGGAAATGTAATATGTTAAGATAATAATTCTAGAAAATGTATTGCCTTGCACATAATAAACGTTTGCTCTCTAACTGTCGAGAAAGAAAGTCCTCTGTTTGTTTCAATCTTTTATAATGCTTCTAAAAAAAGTTATTAAGATTTAAAAAAATGGAGCTCTTAAACGCATAATTTATCCACTGGATTTTGGCCTTTTATTAAAATTACCTAATTTGCAGTCAAAGTATCAGTTGTTTTTATTTTGTAGAGAAAAAAGGCACATGTAAAAACGATTGTTTTGTCTTAGTTTTTTTTTGTTTGTCCTTCGCCATTGTCCCAAAAAATTATGACGAAAATGTTATTTTCTTTTAAGGTGGAAATAAAAATGGCAAATTTATGATTCTCTTAATTAAAACACAAAACTAACTAAATCCACATCAACTTTTTACTTGGCAAATGCCATCTATATCACAGTGGCAATTTTCAATAGAATGGACACAAATAAAATCATATTTTGCTGTATGGAATTAAATAAGATGAAATACACTTTTTTGTTCGTGAACTTGTATCTCAAAAAAATGGCATTATTTTTTTTTTTACAAGATATACTATAATTATTGACAGTCAGAAACATAGGCTTTAATTATCTTTTTAGCAAAAAATAGCATTATTTTAATCAACTGAAACGAATACATTATTTAAAAAAATTGTTCAAATTCTAGTAAAATTTTCTTATTTTAATTAAAATTAAATTTCCTTTCTTTGTAATTGTGTTGCTTTTATTTTTAACTTGGGATGCATACATTTTTTTCAGTAGAGTGAATAAATAAATATTTACTCGTATGAGTCGAACATACATTTATAAATATTATAAATAGGTTAATGTTTGTTTCTTCTTTTTCTCAGAATAAAGTATTATTTGACTGAAGAAAATATATTTACTGATTTTGGGCAAAGATATATAACACACAGCTGACTATAACTTTGATTTATCTTCAAATCAGTCTTAAAGAGGTAAATCGTCTTTTGCGTACAAAAAATAAAAATATACTTACCTTCTTAATTTATGGCAAAAGAAAAACAGCAGTGTAATATTTTTTCAAATTTTTTGTTTAATAATATATAAAATATTTAAACATTTTATTGTCAGTAAAATTATTTAGAGCTTCACTATTGTAAAATTCATTAATGTCATTTATAATGTTGAAAATGTGTATTCTAAATAAAATAATACAAGAGCAATCTTAAAAATAAGTGCACAATTTAAAAAAATTACTTTGTTTCGATATCTTTTAATGCTGTTTATATTTCGATATCAGATAAAATGCTATTACAATTTAGTTCACATATTTTTTGTTCTTATAAATTAAAAATCGTTTATATATTTGAATTGTGCTTATTTGATATTCACATAATTATTAGAAAAATTTGTTGTAAATAAAAATTTTCTCATTTTGTGGAATGATTTTGATGGTTACTCAACAGGGTGTCCCGAAATTAGTGCAACAAAATTTGGTCACAGATTCTTAAGACAAATTTAGGGGACCCGTATTTCTTATTTTTGCCCCCTCTTTCGGAGTTACAGCATCCTGAAATTCACCCCTAAGAGTAGTCTTTTTTTTATATCTCAGAACTCCCTTACACACTTTTTTGTGGGTCCTCTTGTCTTTGCGACTAATAAAATTTGGTCACATTTTTGAATTTCTTAAAAATTATTAGTTCGCTAGAAAGCCATTAATTTTAGAAACTTTTTTGTACCTTGATACTTTTTTCGTAAAATGCAATGTTTTCGAGAAACAAAGTTTCAAAATTCAGTGGCTTTCTAGCGAACTAATAATTTTTAAGAAATTCAAATATGCGACCAAATTTTTTTACTTCCAAAGACAAGGCCCACGAAAAAGTGTCTTAAGGGGATTCTCTGTCAAAAAGCGTAGCACTGTCGAAAATAAGCAAATTTTGTGGCCAAAATTTGGTATACACCCAAAATTGCAATACATAACTATCTTACCCTGAATTTTTAGGCTCTAGCGGATACTCTTAGCCATTCAGTGGTTAACATAGTAGCTCCAAGTTTGGAAAAATGCTACCGTGACATAATTTCCTCGTCTTTAATACCGTCATGGGAAAGAGTATGTGGGCAAATGTTCCAGCAAATTAACGAAACCTTTACAAAAGGAACAAAAGAATGTAAACATTAATACATCATTTATATTGCCATATATTTCACCTAAAGCTTTTTTAGATACTGCTTCGGTTGAGAATTATATGGACAGGCAAAGAAGAGTTCAGGAGAAGGGTAAGGATCTCATCGCCCAAATCCAGTCTGTCTCAGAGAACATGAAATCTAACGCGGATAAATTATCAACGACTCTTACTTCCGAAATTCAGAAACAGTTCAATTCCATCTTTAAGAGGTTAGTGTTTAGAACTATAAAATAATTATTTTCATTTTTTCTTTTATTGATATTGTTATCTTTCTATAGCATGCAAGACAAATTAACTAACAGTATCAAGGAGGTAGTGGCGGATCAGGTAAAACAAGGCTTCAAAAGTCATGCTGCCGTTATCGAGGACAGTGTTATAAACGCCGTTCGTTCCAGAGCAGTAACACCGTCGCCTCACATCGATTCACATGTATGTGGTATTTTCTTCGTTGATTATTACTGTCATTAAATTTTAATTACGGTCATCGATTTATTTAGCATCTCTGATAACTTTTAGGTAGCAACACTTACGCAAATTCAACAAAACTTATCGAGGGGCAATTTCGATGACGCCTTCCAGTTAGCTCTTAGCGCAGAAAACTTGAGCTATGTCATTTATGTTTGTGAACGGGTTGACATTTCCACATTGTTCGGCGAGGAGTGTCTGCTTCAACAAAACTGTCTGCTGGCTTTGATCCAACAACTAAGCATCGAGCTACACAAAAATACAGAATTAAAGTTGAGGTAAGTCTTTTATACTTATAACTATATCTCATATTATTCGTTGAAATCCAAACGTTTACCTTGTACGAGGTGTGATCAAAAAGTAACAGGAATTGTTAATTTTCTCAGAAAGCATTTCTTTAATCTTCAATTTTTATCCCATCCACTTTAAAGTAGTCCGCCTGTGATATACACTTATGCCAACATAGCTTTCAGTTTTAGAAACACTGGTGGTGCTCCTCTTTAGGTACCGTCTTGAGCACGGTTTGCAATTTTGCCTTTATCTCATCTAATGTTGAAAAACGTCCTTTAAATATCCTTTTGAGTTTGGGAAATAGAAAAAAACTCACAGTGCTCATATATGGTCGTTACGACATCACAACAGTGCGTTGTCATAGTGTAAAATCCACAAGTTGTCTCTCCTGTACTTGTCGTTTGCTCCTGATTGCATCAGGCAAATTGCACAAAACTTGTAGGTATCACTCCTTGTTAACTGTATGACTTGGCAGTAAAAATTCGTGATGAAATATTCAATTGTAGTCGAAAAAAATGGTTAGAAGGACCTTCACATTTGACAAGATCTCACCTCATCTTTGATGTACTTTTGGCCTTCCTATATCTGTGGCATAGTATCGTCGCCAAAGGCTTTCCTTAATATTTTAAACACTTCTTTGCACTTAGTTCCGCTTTTAATACAAAATATCAGACAAACTCTCTAACCTGACATTTCGCCACCCAAAAAATTGCCAGGAGCACTGAGATAAGTCTTACTCATTCGCTCTCTAAGCACAAACTAAGTATGGCAGCTGCCTAAAAATTGACAGGTACGTCACTGACAGTGCTACCAATATACAAAAAAAGAACCAACTCGATAGACAAGATACAACACACGCAATTTGAAAATTCCCGTTACTTACTTTTTGATCAAACTTGGTACAGGATGTTCCGTTGAATACGGCTCATATTTGTATGAAAGCGACCTTTGACCTTTAAAAACACATATTAAAAGTTTGTTTTATTAAATTCTGCTGTGAAAATCGAATTTTTCTTTAATCTTTTTTTTTTTTTGTAATTTTTATACGCCGCCTCTGGGCAGGCAGGTTTTTTCAGAGTATCACACAAAAATTTAAGACACAAACACGTCTTGAAAACAGATAAGATGGAAACTAAAATTAATGTAACAAAATGAAACGGTAACATATTAGTCATTTCTGTTTCGCCAAATTAAAATTGTTTTTTTTTGCGCCTAGCACCCTGTTGTCATATCATATCAAGCGGATTCATATTATGTAATTCTCCTAAAGTACAATGTTAAGAGGTCTGAAATTCACAAACTAAACACAGTGCTTTTAAAAAAGTAGTAACAAATACTTTTTATTAAAAACATGAAACTATTTCACAAAGTATTTCAAATTAGCAAGTATTTCTAATTATTTTTTATGTATACAGTCAAAGCTCATTCACGGTTCCCATATTCGCGGATTCGCTATTCGTGGACCAAAAAATTATGACCACTTCCCGTATTCACAGATGAAAAATTCTGTATTCGCAGATTCAAAACTAACGATACATATTGTATTTTTAGAATAACGTGTATTTGTTTGTCAAAATAAACAAGTAAATATCAAAATATATATAAACAAATAAATCTTAATGTTGTGAAGACGAAAGGCACTTTGGCCTTTGATAAATGTGACATTCAACTTAAAAACCTGAGTGAAGGTTTACGGATGGCAAAACAGCTTTGTGATTTCTTCATGAAAATTGATCCGTCTATGGAAAAAAGTCTTGTTTTTAAGAATAGAAGCAAATTGATAATGCCACAGCTGAATATTAAAAAAGGCCTTTTAATAGCTGCAAACCAAGAAAAGATCGAAACTTTTTTAAACCATTGCCTAAACCTGATAATAATAATATTGTTAAAATGTATCTCAATAAATTACTTTTGTTATATTTTTTTATTATTTTGCAACATTGGAACGTATCCTATATTTCCATACAAAATGCCACTCCGTATTCGCGGTACATTTTCGAAACGTATCCCCCGCGAATAAGGAGCTTTGACTGTATTTTATAAAACGGTAAAAATAATTATGTATTTTGAAACATAAATCAATTGTACCTACAATTAATAACATATGCCTATCCACATGCCAATATTAGTTAATTTCTAATAAATCAAGCAAAAATATTTTATAAAACAGTCGAAAATTTTGGATAACCCTGTATTGCAAAGAGGGAGGATTTTTAGAAAAATGTTTGTATAAAAAATCGTATTTGAAATACTTACTGTTGGACCGGATGTTAATCTGACTCACCCTGTATATTTAAATTGTTCTTAATTTATTGATTTTTTTCTGTTTCAGTTTTATTCGAGCAGCATTTCTAGCATTATCCCCAGAATACCACAACACAAAATCTTTTATTCCAAAAGTCCTGAAAGACGTTATTAAACAGTTAAATATTTTTATCCAGACCAGCCCACCGATAAAACAGTTAACAGATGCAAGGCTGCTTAAGATGGCCATCGAAAGCACATTTATATAAGGTAAAAGAAATTTATTTGAAGTATACATTACTTGTTGTTTTTGTTAATAGTATTGACTTAGCTTATGTTACAAAAATATTATTTTATTTTTATATTTGTCAACTTACCTGTAATATATCGACTTATTTTAAATTTTTTACATTGATGACATGATCGTGTTGTTAAGACTGGTATATATCAGCTGTTCCTTTTTATTATTATTTTTTTTTAAATAAAATTAAATTATAGAAGTGGTTTCATTGAGTCCAGCAACATAATCTACTGAAAAGTATTAGATAAATGTTTGATGTGTGTACTATTTTGAGAGATTTTTAACTTTCAAACGAATGAACCCATTGACATTAACAAAGTACTGAGTGAAAGCTAAAATCATCTAATGCAATATGAGTGAACTTTGAGAATGATCGGAAAATCACCATGGAAATGGTCTTCCAACTAACTTTGGTGGCTTATATCTTGATATTAAAAAATCACAAAGAAGCCTCGTTATTGCTGGTGAATACAAACTAGATTTAATGAGACCTCCTAAATCTTTAAAAGCACTATTTTGCTAACCATTTGAGGACTTTATTCAACAAAATCGATTGCTTTGTTAAAAATTACATTAACTTTCTCTATTGTAAAGTTTGACTTTTTGTCGGTATACTTACTCAGAACGTTTTAACTTTTTGAGAACTGAAAGTCAAATTGATGAGTCATCCGTCGTACAGCCCTGATTTGGCACCCAGTGACTTTTTATTCCCGCACATCAGAAATCAGTTATGAGGTGCTTTTTGATGCCTGAAGAAGTGGTTGATGTGTTCAAAATGTACGTTTTGGAGGTACCTCCGTTGAAATGGAAAAAGTGCTTCGAAAATTGGTTCAAGTTCATGCAAAAGACCTTTGTGGAGAATATTTTGAAAAGCAATAAAGCCATATACAATTATTAATTTCTTTTTTTTGTTCTGTATTTCCGAAATATTAAAAGGCATATCTTGTTTAAAGAAATCCACGAAAGCATAGAAGGGCCATAGAATATATTTTTCTTAAATTCTGATTTTAAATTCAGAATTCTGACTTTAAACTCGGAAATCTGACTTTAAACTCAGTATTCTGACTTTAAACTCACAATGAGTTTGAACTCAGAATTCTGACTTTAAACTCGGAATTCTGACTTTAAACTCGGAATTCTGACTTTAAACTCACAATTATGAGTTTGAACTCAGAATTCTGACTTTAATCTCGGAATTCTGACATTAAACTCATAATTCTGACTTATGATAACTAGGTATACCTAGGTGCTAAGAGTTGTTTTCTTACTTTTAAGTTATAGTATATGTGCAAGTATAGTAAAATGACTTGAGTTATCGCATAGCTAGACTTTAAACTTAGAATTCTTACTTTAAACTCAGAATTCCAAGTTAAAAGTGAGAATTCCGAGTTTAAAGTCAGAATTCTGAGTTCAAACTCAGAAGTCTGAGTTTAAAATCAGAATTCCGAGTTTAAAGTCCAAATTCTGAGTTTAAAGTCAGAATTCCAAGTTTAAAGTCAAAATTCCGAATTTAAAGTCAGAATTTTAAAAAAATATATATTCTGTGGCCCTTCTACGCTTTCAAAGAAATGAGAGATTTAGGCATATTATTTTAGCTTGATTTACATTTTGGAAATCATTATAATAATTATCAAAAACATTAAAATTTGTCTTATCTAATTTATTCATAGTAAACTTCAATTCAGTTCACATTGGAGTTCTACCATCAAAAAATTTGATAAAATAATAGAAACTCTACAAAATAAGTTTATCAAAAACCATCAGCAAAAATTCTCACCTCAATATTTTGTAAATTCGATTACCAATTATATTTCAAAAAACAGTATCTCCTTTTTTTTTAAGAGTTAATAAATTTTAAAATAAAGGTCATCTCTACAGCCGGAGCTGTTCCACCTCTTTTAAAGAAAACTTTACCTAGCTCAAACTTCACTGTGTTTGACTCGTTCTCTGAAAATTCCGGATGGTGACAAAACATGTTGGGGTGGAAAAATGTGTTCCTGCAAGTCTTATAAGTACCTACTGATCATCTGTACACCAAAAAATAAATAATCCCCAAAAAAATCACTTGAACTTAGGTGTGGTAAGCGAGACGGCCAACTAACTTTTAAATTGTGTGGATATATGCTGAAATCTAAGTAACTTGTAACTCTTGCAGTTATGCCAGCAGGACATAACCCTCTCCAAGTTTTTTTATATAATAATATGCAAGTAGAAATTGCTAGAAATACTTATTAAAATAACACTGCAATAAGTATTGCATTTATTAACATTTGTGATAATCTGTACACTCGCAGTGTATTTTTTCCGTTTTGAGATCGCATAAATCGTATCTGTCTCTGTTGCACCTGTCGGGATCATCTGCAAAAGTCACAGTTTTAACATTGCATGCCCTCGGCGGTATATCAGGCTTGGCAACTATGAGCGGTGTTGGTTTCTCAGCGTCCTCTTTGTTTTGTTCACTTGGGGGATCGGTACACTCGATAGGATGGGTGCCATCACAAATTGCACGCTGATCTTTTAGTACACCTGTATAGTACTTAGCAATAATTTCCTCGGGAGTGTCAATGTGCTTTGGAGTGTACGACTGATAAGCTTGGCCTAAAAAAATATGTGAAAAAGCATTTAGAAGTATTTACGAATTGGAAGTTCTTTTAAGTGACGTGAATACACTGTTTCACTTTTCATGGAACTGCCCTTATACCTCAGTTATTTTAAATTGAAACATTTTTACATTTTAAAGTAAAGTAATTACTTAGGAAGTGATTGTTCCGATATAACCTTAGACGTCAGGTTCTAAAATTAAAAAAGGTTGACTTTTAAAAAATATTAGCAATTTTGTTTCTCTAAAAGATAATAATATATGCTAATTTAGCATCCTTAAAAAACCCTCTGAACCAAATTTGAAAGAATATATTTAACGGATGTGGGTACCCAAATTTTAAAATAATACATAATTTAAATTCAATCAAAGTTAAACAAACTTTTTCTTTTACTTTTTGCGTTATACTAAGGTATCAAATTTCCAAAAAGAACTTTTTTATCTGGACATCAAACGATTAATGTAAGAACTTATTTGTCATGATTTTGTCTTTTATTGAAAATATTCACATCAAGCAATACATTGCAAAATATGAAAGAAAATTTCAGTGTTAAATAACTAAATAATTATATCTGTTTGTATTATTAAAGAAATAGTTTATAAGAATAGACTTCATATTGGAAAGGATATAGAAAATAAATTTAGGCATACATATTACAAAATGACTAGACAAAAAATAACAAAACTAATAAAAGCGTTCAAAAACGCATAAAAATGAATGTTGAAATAAAAATAATTATTTAATGTCATATTATTTTCTTTGTTCTTTTGCTATGCATTCTTTCATTGGAAATATTTTAATAAATTAAATACTTGGCTACCCTTAAAATATTTCATTCATAGGTAGATAAAAACAGATTTATTGAAATGTTAAATTAGAACTTAGTATAAATTTTTAGATAAAATTACTAACATATTTAATTTAAGTCTTTTTTAATTTTAGAACCTAACATCTATGATTAAAATAAAATTTCATTATATTAGAGTGATCACTTTGCAAGTAATTATTTTGTGCTAAAATGTGAAGCGTTTCAATTTCAAATAAAAGAAATATACAGTGTGTCCAAGATAAGGATGGGATAGCATTAGATCCAAGAAACGGTAAATGATACGGGGTAGCTCAAATTAGAAAAAAGTTGTATTTTTTTTATACCTAAGAATATGCCGTTTAGAAACTTTTAAAACTCCGGGTAGTTCCGGAGTTATCTGAAATTTTGCAAAATCGTTTTATTTTTTTTCTGGCTTTATTTGAAAAAGAATTTTAAAATAAATTGCATATTTACAGTGCCACTTTTTTCACTCTATCCAATGGCGTCGACATTTTTGCAATCCGACGTTTCGTCTTTGAGGGGCCATCATCATATTGACTTTAATACTGTAATGACTTCCTCCAACAGATATTTTGAAAGCGTTCAGAGCCGTACTCAGGAAAAATTTTAAATGATAGCTAAAACAAGCTCAAAAACCTTTCTAAGCGATTACAATGGTAATATCATCTAATTCAAAATTAAAAATGACTAGATTTTGTCATAAAAAGAGCAGCGACGTATTTAAAAAAATTAACCTGATGATGGCCACTTGAAGATTGCAAAAATGTTGACTCTATTGGATAGAGTGGCAATGTAAAAGTGCAATTAATTTTAAAATTCATTTTCAAATAAAGTTTGAAAAAAAATAAACCGTTTTACAAAATTTCGGGTTTTTTCGAATATCTCCAGAACTACCTACCCCGAATTTTAAAACTTTCTAAACGGCATATTGTAAGGTATAAAAAAACAACTTTTTTCTAATTTGAGTCACCCCGTATATCTTACTGTTTTCTAGATCCTAATATTATCCCATCCTTATCTTGGACACACTGTATATTCCATGAAAATTGGAACATAGCATATACATACACTTTTTGACATAGTAGCTGAATTGATTGCATTTACAGAAAAAAAATTCTCCCACTCTGAAATGAATAAGCACATACTTAATTTGTGTGTAACATTACAATTTTGGTTCTAATTTTATCCAGCAAATAAAGATTTTTTTTGAATTATTTCTCTCTTGTTCCATGATCTCGAGATTGGATTTTCGTGTATCAAATTATTTTATTTTTATTAGTCATTCACATTTTTGTTTATTTGATAATAAATAGATTTTCCTCATTTTCCAAACTATGAACAAAGATTTCTCATAGAATTTATGTAATTTAATGCTTTTTAAATAAAAACAACCACAGATTTTTTAACAGAGTCGCAATCTACAAAGTGGGAGAGATCTGAGATAAGTACGATATATTTTTATTACCTATTGATTTATGTGTTACTGAAAATAATGATCATTTCCATGAAATAACATTAGATTATAATTTTTCGAATCAAATTTGTTATGATAATTGAATCAGATTTGAACGGAAAAAGCATTACGGATGTTTAATAAAATTCATCTGAAAGAGAAATATGAAAAATTTCGATGGTGAAAAAAACTTGAAAACATTATTTGTTTAATAAAACAAGAACTCAAGTAAAAAGGTCACCTGTAAATAAAATATGAGTACTTTTGCTTAAGGTTAGGAACAAACTTAAGTTGGGACACCCTGTATAATAATTGTTCATTATATACTAAAAAATTTAAAAAGACTAGTACAAATGTTACCATGAAAATAGATATAAAATTATAAATTGATTATTATAATAATTTTAAAAATGAGATGCAAGTATAACTGAAATACAATAGGTGACAAAATATTTTTAATTTTTCTAACAGCCAGTCTAACTTTTTTTATGTTAATGAATGAATGTACATATACATACGTTAAAAATATACCTTCATCGTCCTCTTTACACTCAGCGCTTTTAATTTCTCCGATATGAACGGGATACGCGCAAGTCATGTTGATATCTTTAATTCCGTAAGGTACCTCGTGGGGAGTACGTTTTATCGATTCCTCGTATTGCTGTACGAGTTCTGCCCGCTTGGCTTTATCATATCCAGTATCTCCTTCCCCAACTTTCAGTTCTTTTAGGCACTTTTCCATTTCTGTCACTCTCGGTTCATCTGTAAAATAAGATTTGAATGTAAGTTAGATTAATATTAATTTAAATGAAGCAATTATTGGGCGGATATAACAAAGTGTTACAAATTGGCAGAGAGCGACCTGCTATACGGATACTATAAAGTGGAGATACCAATATCCAGGTAAAGCCGACCAATCAATAATTCAGCTATTTTTATGTCTTAACTAGACATTGAGTAAGTAAGTAAGTAAGTAAGTAAGTAAGTAAGTAAGATGAGACATAAGATAGTGCTGATGAAACTACGGATAACAACTACTCTGCGGACTAATGTCCTGACCAGGGGCATTAGTCACAAAGTAGTTGTCTTCAATTAGAAGAAATTATTTACCGTGTGTGTCGAGGTCCCATTTTCTTTCATTATCCAAATTGTCCTGAATAGTGTCCTCGACATCATCTTTCAAATATCCTTTATTAAACATGTAATTTCTCATGTTCTCTATGACTTCACAGGGGAATTTGCCTGCATTCGCCTGCATGTATCGGTAGACATATAAATCGGCTCCGATTATTTTAAACCTTTGTTGAAACACTGTGATTATGGCACCGATGTAAAAATCTGCTGCCGTATAATAATCAGGATTTAATGGGTCAGACCCTGGTTTGATTAAATAAGTACTTCTGAGATATTTCCCACCTAATATTCCAGAATTTCTGATGGGCGGTTCTATGATCCTGCAAGTGCCGTCAGCCAGGGAATAACTTAATATGAAGCGCCTGATTGCGTCTTCAGGATGTACAACATCCATTACCATTTCGTACCGCAAATATTTATTGGCGTTTAGTATTTGCCTCATAACATCTTTCTTCGGTGGTTTTGGTAAAACAGTTAGAGTGTTTTGCAAGGAGTCCTCTAAGCTACCTATTCCATTGTGTGGTGGAACTTGCGGTGGTGGCGGAGGAGGTTTCTTCTCTTGTATTGGAATTGGCGGTTTTTGTTCAATACATAATGCATTCTTGAAGTAGTCTCTGGTGAACTGATCGCAATCATAAAGTAACATGTCGCGACCTAGTACGAAGATAGTTTCTCCAATTAAGAGATCTTTTGGTTGGTAATATTCCGTCACCTCAGCGTCGGATAATTCTAAGTATATGGCGGGATAAGTCACAGGCGTGTCAGTGTACCTCTAAAAATGAAAGTGATGCTATAAGAAATTACTAGTTGAAGATTAATGTTACATTTTTCTTACTTTTGGTAATTTGGTTTTTCTAAGAAGAACGGGATATGGGTCTCTACCATCATTTTTCTCATGAACTTCTTTCACAGACACTGTATCGTCGGAAAGAAAATATAATATTTCATAGTTTCTTAATTCTCCGTGTTCATTTTCTCTGTCATCCCAAACTGCTTTGAATCTGAAAATATAAAATTGTGGTAATTATTAAAAAATGTTAATACAGGTATCCATAACTAAATTATCATACTTCAAGGGTGGTTTCTTAGAGTGAAATTAAACTTATTTAGATTAAGTCACTTTGGAACAATTCTACTTCCATAAAAAGTTAAGGGCTTCCAAAGAAAAATGTTTTATTCAGTTCTTATAATAACTGTTTTTAAGGTGTTTAAATGCAACTTAAAATAAGGTGTTTTTTTATGTAGCTGAGGTCATTAAGAACACCTGAAACAGTTTTCTGTTTTTTTTGACATATTTTTTTATTTGTTAACGGAGATTTTGAGAAAACACTGGTAGTTTTTGAAATAAAAAAAGGTATTATGTATTGTTAAATGAATGGCAATTGAGTTTCTGGATACCCTTAATAAGCATTTAGTGAAAATTATAATAATGCATTTTATCTAAAGTATTTAAACTTCTATTTTAAAATAAATAAAGAGAAAATGTGGTATCCACTTTAAAATTTTCCCATCGTATTCCAAGAATCTGCGCAATTTATCATCCGCAGGCGGTGTTTTTGTAGTGTGGCTTTGAATTTGTTTATTTTGATTGTAACGATCTATAGGCATTCTTTCAGTATCACCCATTATTATTCCTTGACTTGCCATATATTCCTGAAATTAATATATTTTTGAAAGCAATTTATACAGATACTTCACCAAAAAAGTTATTTTACATTTATGTACCTTTGTGAATACATCACAATCTACTGTATGAAAAACTTTGCCATAAAAAGCAAAATCCTTCCCAACGTTGAGATCTTTCCAATGCCAAAAGTCTCCTTTACTGTTTTTAGGAATTTTGCCCCTTCTGATTAAACGACCTTGGTCCATCCCACTATTCTGTAAAAAAAGTGCTAAAATATTAAATTAGAATGATAAAATGAATACTTACAGGGATTTTAGGTTCCATCACTGTTATAGTATCATCTTCCAAAAAATAGATAATATTAACATATCTGATTCTGCAAAATTCTTGAGGAGATTCTTCCACAGACTGTTTAAAGAATGCTCGAAATGTCAGACATTTCTGATCATATAATACATAATGAGGTGTAAATTGAGGTAAGGCAGGTGATTTAGTACGACCATATGTAAGAGATGGATCAAATCGAACTGGATCACGATTTGCTAGATATTTTACTGTATTCGTAGCAAGTTCTTTGCCGCCTATGCCACAATAATTCGTTTTAGGCAGCTTGTATCCATTACACAAATCAAATGTATGTTGCAAATTAAATTTTGTTTGCTGAAAAATATATGGATCAAATTTTGATTATATTAGCAGAAACACTTACTGTAGGATCTCGAAAAGAAAATCCAGGTAGTTTTGGTAATCCAGACATTGGTATAATAAGCTATATGAATCATAAATATAATCAATAGAAAAATAATGTAAATGTATAATATTGACAAAACTGTTTGGTTGTTAAGGATATTTAAATTTTAAAATGAACATAGTTTTACCGCCAGGGGCTTGATTTTTGAAAACGGGAGAGTTAGTTCATTAGAGAAAATTACGTCATAGTTCATTAGAGAAAATTACGTCATATCTCTTGACACACAGATAATGTGATTTTTGACATTTTCTTGTGGAATATTTTCTCTAGATATCAAGAGAAATAATCCCACAGGGTTTTGTCGGGAGAATTGGCGTTTTCTCCGAATAGTTATAATCCGAATGTCATCTTCATGCTCATGCGCGAATTGTCACTTCATTCATTCGCTGTTCGAAGGTGCGTAATCATTTGAAATTTGAAATTTGTAATGGATCCAAATAATTTATTATTAAATCTAAATATAATGAATAATTTGCAAGCTGCAGAAATTGTAAACCATCCGCGACAACATTAATTAAACCATTTAAAGTTTCAGCAATATCTGACCACTGGGGCTTGATTTTTGAAAACAGGAGAGTTAGTTCATTAGAGAAAATTACGTCATTTTCTTTTGACACACAGATAATGTGATTTTTGAAATTTTCTTGTGGAATATTTTCTCTAGATATCAAGAGAAATAATTCCACAGGGTTTTGTCGGGGGAATTGGCGTTTTCTCCGAATAGTTTGAATCCAAATGTCATCTCATGCTCATGCGCGAATTGTCACTTCATTCATTCGCTGTTCGAAGGTGCGTAATCATTTGAAATTTGTAATGGATCCAAATAATTTATTATTAATTCTAAATATAATGAATAATTTGCAAGCTGCAGAAATTGTAAACCATCCGCGACAACATTAATTAAACCATTTAAAGTTTCAGCAATATCTGACCACTGTTCTTGGGCCTTTTTGTGAGTAAAAGTAGAAGAAAACTTTCATTTTAAAAAGTTCTTCGTTGTTTCTAAGCATATTAATTTCTTTTTTGCGCTTTCGACGTGAACGAACGCTTCATCATAATTATAATAATATTAAATTTTTTGTGTTTTCAAATATACTTCTATTCAAATTGAAGTTATATTAAATTACTACGAATATCATGGAGATGTCTAGTCTCCCTGACGAATATAATGACATTTACAAAACAAACTTCAAAATNATAAACATGACACTACCCCCGGGGTTTACACAGACGAGCCGGCGAAGCAAGAAGAGCGCCAGAAGAAAGGGCCCTAGCCGGCGGGGCCCAGCCAGGACAAAAGGAGGTCCCACAAAGCGCCTACACCGGCCGCATTTGCGGTCGGGGTAGACGACGGATGGGGCCCACCTACGAAGGCTGTCCAGGCCTACACGAGATGAGGCAGGATAAAGAGGGATAATCCCCCTCGATCCCAAATCATTGAGGCCAATTTCTAGCCATAGAATAATGGCGGTCAGTTGCAAATATATCCTCACATACGGCATAAATTAAATTCTCTAGAGAATTGGATTCCTTCAACGTTCAAGAATAAGTTTTTAAGAGAAATTTGTCAGGTGAATTTTTTCTCTGGAGAATCAGTTCTCCTGTTTTCAAAAATCAAGCCCCAGGAATTTTCATAGTTTGGGAATTTTCCCATCTCTAATTTATACTATTTAACGAATATGGATCATATCCAAATTCATAGAGTTAATTACGAATTATAGGTAGTTCAGATCAGATTATTATAATAATCTGTGGTATGGGTTGGTGAGACTGTTTCTTTTCTTTCAAAATTTGACAGTTATTATAACCCGGGATATGTCATGTTAAAAAGTATTTATTATGTGAAAAACATTTTAATAGACTTGTTTATTAACAAGACTAAGTCTTCTATGTTAAAGAGTTATGCTTTTTTGTGCGATTAGTTAGTTTTTTGTAGTGATCTTATCATGTCCTTTAAAATTTCAAAAATATTGCAATTCCCTCAGCCAACATTACAATATATTTTACAAGACGAATGTGATATAGACCCCTCAAGAGGTAAATATTAGGATTTACAAATCATCTAATTTTATAGAGGTCTTTTTTTAGGTTTACCGCTTTTAGGGGGTATACTATCGGATACACATTATGTTTGGCATTCAAAAGGACCTTGTTTAGAAATTAGGAACACCAAAACAGGCATTAAAGTCGGTGCTTGGACTTTTGGGTGTATTTTGAAAGACTCTAATACTAGAATAGTGTGCGTAGAAGAAATTCAGAGGCCGAATGGCATGTTGTCTTTGCTAGCTGTTGCAATAGATTGCGCTATAAGTGGAGGATTAATTTGTATATTTGATGTTTTTGGTTCCAAAGTTATAAGAGCTATACAGATTGAAGAAAAGGTATTTTGTAATTGGACATTAATATATAAATGCGCATAAATCAACTTTTTTTACCACATTTGTGACATTGAAGGTTCGCTCATATTTTTAAACTATCATATAATTTTTTTTTCAGATTACTAGTCTACATGTAGTGGATTCTGGTTGTGAGGTTTTGAACTTGCCTGGGCCTCTAAGGAACTTTGATGGGATTATCTCGGTTGGAACAGAAGGTGGAAATGTATATTTGGTAGATATCTGCAGGCAGATCTGTGAGGAAGCACTGCATTCTGTGACAGTTAGGGATGAATTATGTCCCTGCCATTTAATATTACTGACCATAAAGGATATTCCAAGGGTAGAATATTATAAAGAAAAATCTGTGAGGGAAGGAGATCACTTAGCTATCCATCTAAATATTGTGGTGAACAGTTCAACTCATCACTTTACACTGAAAGGGCCGAAAGGTGATGACAGGATTTTTGCTAATAGAGAGGAAGTTGTAACCAGTGCCCTTTATTATTGCTCTCAGTTAACTTCGCTTTTAGTCGGTTTTAATTTTGGAGCCTTCCAATTGTGGGATCTCACCAGTTTAAAACTGGTATACACTTCACCAGTTTGCGAGGAACACTTGCCCATAACACATTTTGCTTTGCAAGAACCTGCTGATGATCCTAGAGCTTTTTGTTATATTTGGGCTTCTTATAGCAATATGAATTTACATCAGAGCGGTCTACCGTTTGCAGTAATGTATTCAGTTTGTTATGAATCAAAGGAATATCATGAAGGTTATGGGTATTTATATCAGGATTTCCAGTCTTGTTCGGTAAGATTTCAGGTAGAGCTGGGACCCTTGGGAGAACATAAGAATGGTTCTAAAGTTAAAGGCGGGTTGTGTATAGGACTGCAACCTATTTGTAAGGTTCCTAATAATAAGAACTTATATTTGCACGATGTTACTGGAGATATTCTTGCTTTATGCGCTATTTCTTGGACCGTGTGGTTTAGTCGAACAGAGACGCAAACCTACATGTTAGTATTTGACTTAAACCAGTGGTATAAAGAGCAGATGCCTGATTTTACGAAATGGAGCAATTGTTCCAATTACATATTAAAGGCCAACATTTCCGAATTAATTACAGTAGCCAGTCATAAAGGAATGCCGTTGTTGGATATTAAATTAAATAACAAATCCCTTCGGCAATTCACAGGAGTGCAGAGGTTAGAAGAACATTTTTGTCCTAACGCTCTTTCTTTTGACTTGTGGGGACTGAGGGAAAAAGATGTAATTTTGTTGCATAACGAAGGCATTCAGAAAGCACTACTCAGTCAGATAGAATCGGCAGGTCCTTTGTGTCTAATAAGGCCAAGTGATGTTTATCGTCAGATCGTCACTTTGGGATTGACACCTTTATTTGCAGAAGCGTCATCACATGTTCCAGTTTCTACAGAAATGCAACGAGAAATTATTCTAAATGTAGCATTAGAACATCAACTTCTTGGATGGTTATGTAAATGCGCCTCAGAGTGGGCGAATGGCAGTTTCTCTTCAGCAGGATGTTCTTTAGATTTCCTCATCAGCTGGGCGTTTCACAGAGCTATCGTTCTAAAAACACACTGCGATCGTTACTGCACACCTCTGTTTGATTATTCCCAGTTACGCTTAGATAATAATACAAGCATCTTGTTGAACAGTTGCATAAGGCAAATTAATAACCTCTCCGCATTTTACTCTTATGTGTTGGACAATCTGTCTGGTTTTATTTCAAACTTAGAACTTGTTGTCGAGCAGCAGACTAGTTTGAAAATGGTATCGATATACTTTGAGGTACTTCAGTGGCTTGTGAATGTCGGTTTGCTGCCTGAATGTCACCCGTCTACGTATCCAAGAGTCGATTGTGCTGATCGAGTCAGTGCACCCTATCCCGTTCAAGAATTAACAGAGTACTATAATAAAAAAAGAGCCCAGTTACAAATGTTGACCAAGGAGACATTTATCAGCAGTGATAGTTTGTTGTTCATTGATAATCTTGTCAATAATAAATGCGGGGCTCAGCTGTTGCAGAAACAGTGGCAAGATGATGGAGGCAGTGGCTTATATCCCCCTCCTTCACTTCAGTCTTTGCTCCGTACGTACCTAATAGAAGGCGCAGATATTGGCCATAAGCACTCTTTAATCATATATGTTTTCCTGGATCTCGCCATGGCATTAGATCAAAACAGATATGCTTCCGTTATCACGCATCTTATAAAGTTTCCCGCTGTATTTAAAGTCAGCTCAAGTATAATTAAAATCACTCAGGCATTTTGGCAGTTGGATCATGGAGATTTTACCACCGCAATGGAACAACTTTTAGACCCTCTCGTTCTTGGAGATGACTTGCAGCCATGGCATCACGCTATAGCCATGAGGGCATTACTTCTACAGAACCAATATAATTTTGCACTGCTCTATATGCAAGTTAGGAAACCTCCCATTACTGATGAAAAAGACATGTTAACAGCAATCAGCCTGTTTATTGCGAATAACATGTTAGATGAGGCATTTTACTTCAAGAACCAGCATCGCAACAACAATGAAGAAAAACTTCTAATGCACTTATTTAACGAATGCAATAAAAATGACTCTTTACATGTTCTTCTGTACAGATGCCTCGATACTAATGAAGAAAGAGCTTTTTTTAAATATTTAAGATCCGTGGAAAATCTTACTGCGGATGACCTTCAAGTTTTTTATTATTTATTGAGATCGAGGTTTGTCGAGGCGTTCGATGCTCACCAAAATTCGAGAAGAAAAAATCCGGAAAGTCAAGGTTTAGTAGGTCAAAGGAATACCACTAGAACCGATCAGATTGTGAGAATATTTAAGACCTTATTACCTGACATTAATAAAAATCTTGTGGATGTTGTTCGAAAAGAGAGAATAAATTTATGGAAAGAAGGTAATTACTGAAAATATTTTTGTTCCTTTTTATTTCTATCTGAAATTTTTAATAAAACCATAAATATTTATATCTTGAGGGACTCACAAATCAGAAGCAATAATTCTTTATAGATTTAAAAAAAGTAAATATTCTGTCATATATAGGGTGTGACTTTGGAAAGGAGCCATATTGATGACTTTTAGAAACACAGATCATAAGTTTGTTTTTTAAATTCCATTATTAAAACTTAATGTTTCTTTTAACCTTATCGTAAACCGATAAACTAAAAACTAAAGTAAATGTAATAAAATAAAGCGCTGAGATATTTGACCATTCTTTTTTGCTGAATTAACACTGGCCGTAATTCATGTGAACTAGGTCCATGTCAGAGGTCATTAACACTGATATTCGCAAACTAAACGCAGTGCTTTAAAAAAATAGTAATAAATATTGGTTATTAAAGTCTTGTTGAAAGTAAGTATTTCTATTTTTTATCTATACATTTTGTAAAACAGCAAAAATAATTATTTTGAAACATAAAGTAACTTTAAATTTTTTTTAGTATGTATTGACATCAAAAAAATATCGTGTCTGTGATATAGCATGTTACAAAGTTTTACAAAAGCAATCTGTGTTTACAAAATTATTTTTCATACAGATTTTCTGTTGCCACTCCCGTAGTTTCATAAGCTTAGTTTGAAAAGATATCAATAGGCACGCACATACGATTAAAAACGGGTGCTGTATATTCGCGGCATAAACAAGAGTTAAAAGTGCAGTATAAAAAACAAATTATACCTCGACTATTTATTCCATGTTTAAGATTAGTATTCTCAGGAATATACTACTACCCTTAAAAAACTGTCCCCTTGCTTAAAGTTACACCCTGTATACGGATCATGTTTTGTAACAGGGTTATTGCATTTTAGATAATAAAATTAAATATATGTATATGCAAATAGTAAAGAGAATTAATAAAATTCGCATATTTAGTGGTTGCAGTTAGTGATGAGATTTAAAATTTGGATTGAAGTAATGCGCGTAATTACATTCTAGGTTGTCACTCGTGTCTTACCTTTATCTTTTATTATATTTATTCAACATGTTTAATTTTGATAAAAATAGAAAATATGCATCATGGTAATTTGCATTTTACAATTTATTGTAGTCGCAAGACCAACTCCTTTGTCTGTCTTTGTCCATAACTCTAAGGAACAGGTTCACTATAAATCGACTGTAATCCATGCAGCATTAGCAAAGGCTAAACACACATTTATTGATAGTCCGACTACAAAAAGGTCTAGGGAAATAGTAACTGAAGAGACTCCCTTTCTAAGGACTCCAAAAGTCTCAAGAATGAGTTCAAGGTATGAGAAAATGAAAATTAGTAATTAATCTTTAAAATAAATAGATACAAAAGTCATCAGTACGTTGTTGTATATATTTTTTCTTCTTTATAATTTTAATACATATACATTTGTTAATTCTTCAGACACCCTACTCCTGTAATTACACCAAAGGTTATTGAAATTGATGAAAGTGGAGAGGAATTAAGCCCGTCTCCTTCTAAGAGACTAAAACTTACCCCTAGGGCACTCACCTCTAGCCCCACACGAAACCACAGCATTTCCATTCATTCAAGGATGTTGACACCAATTGTCAGGAGGAAGACGTCACTGCAAAAGGACGAAACACTTTTATCTAACAGTAGTTTCAATGTCTGCACACCTCAAAGCATCCTAAAGGTATGTTTCAGTAGAATTCAGTAGAAAAATTTTAGTTATTTTCTTCAAATTATAGATTAGAAATCTTGTAAGGCATGGTGATACCATTTCTGATGACACAAAGGTTGACGAGATGATAGAAGACCACGATAATTTACCAAAAATGGAAATTTCACCAAGGGTAAGTATCCTATTAGAAGCTGATAATATTTTAAAGGTAGATTAATCTATTATGTAAAAGAATAGAAAAATGCAATACCACATTATTTTAAGGTTTTCAATATATAAATTTAAAAATAACTTATACCAAATAGTTGTATAACCTGTCCAAAGACATGGCGAAACAAGATCTGCATTGCTTCGCAATTGACGAAGAAGTTCTGAAACTAGTAGAATAAAGTCCCTTGTTGAATTCTTGAGAAACGACCTTTCGGTTTCGGCCGCCAGGAAATCCAGATCTTATACCAATGGACTTTGCTCAACTAATTGATAGTAAACCATACCTAGTGCGAGTCTATTAAATAGACAGGGTGTTCTGAAAGTCTGTCAGAAAACTCCAGGAGGTGATTCTACGGATTAAAATAATAGCAATACCTATGTAATGAAAATTTTCAGAACACCCTGTATATAGGACAAGAGGGTCTGTCTAATTGTTGATATTGCTTACAATTTTAAGTGAAGTTAGGCCATCCTTGACCAAGGGACAGCTTGGTCAACGCCTTCAAATCTAAGGAAACAATAAGGGGCAATTTGTTTCTAAAACTATTTTAATAGGATTAATAATAATTATAAATGGATGATTTTCAAATTTGAGGACAGGAGAAATGTGATCGTGTACACAAACATCTTATTCATCAATTAGAGCAATGTCTCAAATGTATTGAATAAAACTTGGCACATTTTTGTTAACAATGCCTATTTCTTACGGATGGCATATCCATAACTCTTATATGTGTATTTTTTCTTGCACATCTATGAATTTTATTTTGTCATATTCAAATAAATTTCCCTGAATATTTACTTAATGTTCTTTTTAATGAAATAATTGGAAATAATAAAATATAATGTAATAATAAAAAAAAAAAATTTGTAGAAGTCATCCCTGGGCTTGTTGCCGAGAAAGTCTCTCCCAAGGGCACTGCGTAGGCCTCACGTCAAGTTTGACGATTCCATTCGTTTGTCTTCTTCATTAAGCGATCAAAGCATTAAACCATCTCTGAACAACACATTAGAAAACCTGTCGGCCGATAAGTCTACGCTGTCCTCGAAAGATGTAAGTTTAATGATTTCCTCAAAAAATAGTTCAACTTCCAACACAGATGAAGTTTTCTATTCTCCTAATACTTCCCTTAATGATTCTGAAAATAAGGAAGAGGATAATATTAATGCTGAACAAAACGTCTCGCAAGTTAGTGATGCTGTTGAAAAGGTTGAATTTGATAAAAAAATCAGTGTTACTGAGGATATTAGAGAGAACAGTTCTCTAACACAGTCTCCAAGGGCCAGAAGAAGTTATAAGAGTAAGTAAAAGTTTTTCTCTATTATGCAAATTTTAGTTTAATTATTGTAAATCGTCAATTTGAAAAAGTTGCTTTACTGATAAAAAAAAACATTTTTCTGCAAATAGAATTTTTTCTTTAACTTTTTTGATGTTGGTATCTGTAAGCCGATATCTTGGTATCACTTTATCCCTAATGAGAATTTTTTTAAGGATCTTTTGCGGACACATTACCAGTTCGTCAGAGCCCGCGAATAACAAGGCATTTTATTAAAGAAAGTTCCAAGCTGGAATCACAGGTACCCAGTAAGAGTACACTTGCTGATAGTGACAATAAGGAAGAATCCCAGTCGAGTCCCACAATAGAAGATTCAGATCTCTCCGAAGCCAGCACTTCTAAAATCGAGCCGCCTTCAATTATACAATCTCCAAGACTCTTACAGAAAGTTAAGGGACGCAAATCACTCAGCAGAAAAGTACTGGAACACAATACCTTTTCGAAAACACTTTATTCACCATCTGTAATCGACTTGAATAAGTCTGTGACAAGAGAGACTTCGTTTGCCAAAATAGAAAAGAGTGTCGTTACAAGAAAAACTCTAGATACATTGGAAGTCACCACTCAAGAAACAAAGGAGGAAATTAAAAATGTTTCTTCCTTAGCTAATACCTCTGCCAGCAGCCATCACAGTACGACAAATTCTACTTATAAGGAAAAAATCTCCGAAGGGCTTCCAGAAACTGATACTTCTATTGAAGACAATTTGTCCTTTAGCAGTCCGAATTTACCAGAAAGCTTAAAAATGTCAGATTCTCTAGTGGAATATATCAAATCGAGAACGAGCAAGCTGGAGTTCGAACAAACGCCTACTGAAAATAGTAAAATACAATTAGAGGCTTCTGAAGTTACAGAAAATTCAGAAATTCCACAAGAAGAAACTCAAAAAGATGATTCGCTAAAGGAAGACAAGTTGGAAGCTGAACCGATGGAAATATACGAGGATCTCTCTAGCGGAGCTGAAGATATAAAAGAAATACTAATGGAGAGTAGACTGCCAAGTGATCAGTATGAAGTATATGCCGAGTTGTCCAATTGTCCTGAAAACAGCTTTAACGAATTGGAAGAAAATATTTTTGAGAGAAGTGGAACCATGCAACAGGAAACAGGTAACGAAACAGTTTATTCCATTTTGAAACTGAATACCGCAATTATTTATGACGTACGTTAATGAATATTCAATATACAGAGACTTTATAAATTATTACAAGCCATGTGACCAGTAATTTCTGAAAAAAAAATGACTGATGATTGGTGTAATTTTTCGTGAGATTCTATTCAATCAATCAGCGATCTCATTATCTCGACCATAGACTTGACAGTTTCTCATTGTTCATTGTAAACGAATCGTTAATATTGGTTGACACTAAAATTTAGAGATTTTTAGGTAACAGTATTGGTTGCCTCAGCTTGGTGGTCATGGGGCTTGTAAACATTTATGAAGGCTCCATATGTCCAAAACTTTTGAAAGTAGAAAGCTTAGGCTGTCTAATTTTGTATGTGTTTTATGCCATTTTAATATATTTTATATAAAAAAAGTTATCAAGAAAAACGTGTTGCAATTTAACCCCTTGAATACTTTGCGACATATTTTTTTATGAAACGAACAATGTTTCTCACGACACCTGTGTATGAACATGCTGTGCGGACATTGTAAATTCTAAATTTATAATTCCGATATTTAAATAGGACTACTTTAATCCCAATTAGCAATTTGTGAATACACTGATATCCAGATGAAGAGAGAGATCACAACAATCTCGACATAAAAAGTTGGAATTCCATTAATCCTCATAAAAATATAGGGACTACTTTAACCCCGACATAAAAAGACGGTGAAGTTTATCCAGAAAATGTAAATTGAACTACTGTGATATTTGCATTTTATCAACAACTGTGTCGTTAACACTTTTAAATTAAATTAAATTAAAGCAATCTTAACTTTTTTTAACGAGACATTTTTTATGTGAGGATTCTTGTAATATATACATTTTATTTTGAGATTAGCATAATCTCAAATTTCCACTAACGGTTAGAATAATCCTGATTTTTAATCTTGAAATTGGTTAATCACGTTTTAATGTCGGGAGTGGCATAATCTCAACTTTTTATTGCAGGAGTAAAACAATTTTATTTAGATCAAATGATGTTGGCATCATATTAGAGACCTTCTTTCACATATCAAAATATTTTATTCAAAATTATTATTTATGTCCACATGTCAAATTTGAAAATAAATCAATATATTTGAATAGATAGATCTACCAGATAAGCATTTGTTGTCACCAAGCAGCCTGTCTTTGCCAGTATTGATTTAATCTTGTGTATTGTGTTTTTCAGTTCAAAGGCATTTAGAAAAACGACCAAGCACTGCAGCCTCGTTCAATAGCTTCTACCAGCGTGGCTCTGATAGTTTCTATGTCCCTGAAGCTGAGAAAGGCTTCTTAGGTGACCACTCCAAAGCAGAAATATCTATTTTGAGTGCAGAATGTGAAGTTTCAGAATCTGAAAAGGGCTTCCTGCCTAGTATTCAAACAACCAACCAAGAAGACGTTATAGAAATCGGCAGTTCTAGTGATGAACAAGATAGCAGCAAAGGTGGCAACAGCGACACAAGTGACTCTAGATCTTTAGAGAAAAGTGAAAGTGATGAAGACGAACTTAATATATCATATGAACGTAATATTCATGTTGAAGAAAATTCAAGATCGTTGGTTGATTCGCATGATAGTAGAACAACCGATAATTCTGTTGCAGATGAAGATGTTCACAACGAAGCTAGACTGATTGTAATAGAACATGTTGAGGAAATAAATAATTTTAACGAAGTAGGCGGTGAAGCCGACAGTAATTCTGCGGATTGGGTAAATAACGAACAAGAGTCTAGCGATGAAAGTAGTGAACATCCCGCTGATGAGGAAGTTGTAATTGCAGAAGACAGACAACCTGATGAGAATAAACCAGAAGAAATTATCGAGATGGAACTTGAGCAACCCTTGCAACAGGGAGAAGAAGCAGAAATAATAATCCAAGCAAATTTACCTGAAATAGATGCATCAGAAATAAAACAAGATTATAAAGAACTGGTACCATCTAGTGATGGAATTCCACTAGAAGAAAAAGAAGAAGCTAACGAAGGTGAAGAGGTTGAGGAAAATCAAGATATCTCCCAGAAAAATGAAACTGTAGAAAATAAACCAGGGGATTCATTAATTGAAATCAAAGAAATACCTAACGGAACTAATACTCAATGTGTGGATAATTCAAGGGGGTCTCAATTAGAGGACAAAGCAAGTCAACACGAACATACCGATGAAAAGAATGTTCAACCTCCTAGTATAACTGAAGCACCTGTGACTCACAAAGAAAAAACCACTTGTGAACAATCCACAAATACAACAATTCTGTTTGAAAAAGAAGAGACCATTAAAAAGGTTGAAGAAATTTCTGATACTACCACCGATAAAACACAAGAAAATATTGCACAAGAAAAATCTAAAGTCGACCAATCCGCAAATACAACAAATTTTGCACCAGAAGAAAGCATGAGAAAAAGCAATGATAGTATCATTGAAGTCGAGAGGCCAAATGAAAGAAAAACGTATCATCGTGCGAAAGTTGTTACAGAAGACCAAACAATGTCGTCTGTAAGCTCGGACACAACTGAGGGTGAAGTCGTTAAACATGAAATAGTTGTGAAAGCAGACGTTCACATTCCAACTAGAAGAAGAACCGAGGAACCTTTGGTCAAACGCTTAACCAGACGAAGTAGCACACTCTTCTCGAAAACTGCCGAGTCTGATATTCTAGAAAATATAACAGATCCCGATGTATCACACTCAGTGCTTGGTTATGATGTATTGGATGAAGACCTGCCAAACACTACCTGCCCAACACCTAATAGGAAAGCCTATGTCACGGATATATTAGAGGATAGTACTCTGGGAACAACCTTTAATTCTGATAGCGTCTTCACACCAGGTAAATGTACAGGGTGATTCATAAATGAACTGACGCAGGGCACGTGCATATAGAAATATGGTGTTTTAACGCAGGTTAATTCTATACCAAGGTGCTTCGTTTAGTCGGTATATGGCATTAAAGTTGTAAAAAAATTTAAATTTCTTCCAAATAATTTAACACGCCTTGTTTTAAACGAAATTTAGCAAGATAGTACTGTCACTTTTTGGCAAAGTATTTTTTCATATTTTTTTTGCAAGTGACAATTACAAGTTCAACTCTTATCTTTTTATTGATTTAAAAGATGCTTTAAATCTTCTCGAATAAGGGGAAAAGTTTTATGCCTGCACAAAATTTTTTTCTTTGAAATTATGAACTTTCCCAGTGTGTCGGACTTCTTCGAAACAACTGGCTGCGGCACATGGGTATCTGCAGGAAGGGTACAGCCTAATGACTTACATTTTGATTTCTAACTTCTCTAATACTACTAACAGACGTCGGTAATACTAACAGGTGCCGTTAGAAGGAGTTTGTGTTCAATTAGAAGCATTTTCAAGCGAAAGTACGTTAGAATATCACATATCTCAAAACTTTAAAAGTGCTTTTTTTGAAACATTTCTTTTTAAAATTGCATGCAGCCATAATTGCAACAATTTTCATTCTATTCACTTCAAATTATGACCAAATCTTTAAAATAACATTCTGAAGAGAAATACGTTTGGGATTTTCGATAAATTGAATTTAACATTATTGACAAATGATTGCTCCTTTTTTTTGTTAAAAATTAAACTTTTTACTTCAAATACTCTCCAATCACGCAATAATTGATGTTTTAAAAATTCCCTACAACTCTAACGATACTCCTGTAGAATAAAAGGAAATTTTTTGTTTTTTCTATATTTAAATTTATGTTAGTTACGCTGCGTGACACAGAGCGCCTCAAATTCAACATGCCCCACGAGAATGGCTCCAGTGTTGTCATTTTGTACTATTTATTAATAAATACAGGGTGTTTGTAAATAAGTGCGAAATATTTTAGGGAGTAGTTGCCGCAGTATATTTTGTGAAAAAAAGCTCATATAAACGTAGAGCAAAATATGCTTCGTTTCTGAGATACAGAGTGTTTAAATTTTAATTTTTTATTTATTTTTATTAATTATTTCAGAGTTTTAAAGATATTGACTCGAAATTTGAAAAACGCTTTGGAGGGATAAATGTGCATTTTTTGGGGTGATTCGAATATATACCGAATATAATCTATACTTGCAGTGGAGTTCGTGCGAGAATACCACGATGTTTTTTAATAAAATTATTTCTCGTTTTGGTATTTTTTTAGAAATCCGCCATCAATTCTGAATGACATTGGTCTCTTCAATTTTTTTCGTAGGATGCACCATTTTTGAGGAAAAAGATAAAACATATTTTATTGCAAGTTTTGTATTTTTACTTTCTATTGATACATTATCTAGTAGGTTGCTGTCAATATTTGTAAATAAAATACAACCATCAAATTTCGAGTCGATAACTTTAAAACTCTTTGAAATAATTAATAAAAGTAAATAAAAAATTAAAATTTGAACACTGTATCTCGGAAACGAAGTATATTTCGATCTACGTTTATATGAACTTTTTTTTACAAAATAACTTTGGCAACCACCCCCTAATATATTTCGCACTTATTCACAAACACTCTGTATATATAAATATTTGAACACTTAAAGAGATGGTTAATAACACCTTTGAATATTATTTAAATCTTACTTTTCCTTCCTTTAAAATCTTTAAATAAAAATTTGCAAAAAAACGTTTATTAAAAGGATTATTTCAAATGTTTCCTCTTTTATAAATGTTATGATTTTTTTATGGTCACTTTATTAGTGATTACCGACAAATTTTTAATACAAATCTGATTTTATTGCCATGAAAAATTTGATTTATTTAATAATAGAAATGAAATACTTAATTTTAGGGTAGAGTAGTTTCAAAATCTCATGAACCGCGAAATGCGCGAAAGGCGTGGCGTATCCACATAATTCTTCTAATAAGCACGTTGTGAAAACATTGACTCAGAATTAGACCACGTGCCTCATTACAACCAGAAATGAACTAAGGCGCTCGGGCATCAATAAAGTCAACTGGCGAACGTTAGTTATATATATTTTTATTGCTTAAATTAAAATAATAAAGAATAGGGCATTTTATTATGATATTTCTAATCAGAGCAAAGGCTTGTTTATGCTACGAGAGCTCGAGATAGACTGTGAATAATGGATGTAATGTTTTTAGAACGTAGAATAATTTAGGCGATGGTCGGAATTATGTTTCTGCGCATATGAAGGTCAAAGCTCATAAGATTTTGAAACAACTCTACAGATATGTTAAATTGAATATTCTTTTACGGAAATTACTAAAAATAACCATAATCAATAATTTGGCCATTTATAAAATATATCTATCTCTTATTCTTTTCTTTACTAACAGAGGAGACTTACTTAAATAAAAGAGTTTTCATGTGACAATGGTGTACAATTCGAAAGAAATTAAAATTAGGTAAAAATTTGTGTAACGTTATTAATGAAATTGTTTGAACAATTTACATTAACTCTCATTGTAGAATACTATTCAGCGACAAAGCACTATACATTTTTTTCCATATTTAATAATTTTTGTGAGTTATGTAATTACAGTTTTCTTAACTCTGTTCCATGTCATCTACACGGCATATTAGTTGAGTTAAAACACCATATTTTAAGGTCTTCTGACTCACTGGGATCTGTTCTGTCGGTTAATTTACGAATCACTCTCGTTTATGCACACATTTAAAGAGAAACAAGCAAGTTTTTTTTTATGTTTCTGTATAAACCAATTTTTTTACAATCAAAACATATTCCAGAGTAAAAAAGTTAAAGCAATTATTAGTATTGTAAAGGTAACAACAACGTTCTCAATGTGCGCTTGAGAAGTTTTTTGCATAAAAAAACTTTCTGCGCTAATGTTCTCTTCTAGTAAAAGAAAGGATTTTTTTTAAATTCTCTTGCTTTTTACTCATTAATGACAACTTTTTGCAAATATTTCTTTTTTAACTTAACTGAAAATTGGAGAATATATACATTTTCATGAAAATGTTCTGGATTAATAAAAATTTTAATTGAAGATGCCTCTCAAAATCCTATATAGTGGAACCTCGATTATCCGAACTAATTATTCAAGCCACTGTTCAGATAACTGATTTGTTCGGATAATCAAATTTGAAATGCAACCATATAGGAAAATCTTTATAAAGTATCAGTGCAACTCAAAGTACATTCTTTGGTGTAATAAACTAAACTTAACGTGTTTTACTGATATGTAGTTCACTTTTTAAAAAAATCTGTAATCTTCCATTGAGTAAGAGCATCCCTTTCTAATTTCTTTGCTGCTACGTTCAACATTGACAAATGCACGCATTAATACATGGTATAACAACATATGCCTACGAATACGAAACGTGTTTGTCTGACCAACGAAGTGAGCACCCGCTTCACACAGATCATCGTGGGGGAGTGGCCTTGTGCAGTTAATAAAGACTTGTTTGGAAAATACCATTACTTTTTTCATGTTCGGATAAGCGGATATTCGGATAAAAGCATGTTCGGATAACCAAGTTTCTACTGTAGTTTGATAATCAAAACTCGTAGGAAAATAAATAAAGTCTTGTTAGTTCCGTTTTGAGGAACCTTCTGAGTTCCAACTCGACAGCTTAAAAAATATCAATGAAATTTTATACTCCATTTCAGAAGAATTACTCTAATTGCAACTGAATATGAACTGAATATTTGTAGACCTCCCTAAATTTTAAAGAGAACACTTTTAACAACAATTTGAAGCCTCGTTCTTCAAAAGTAGTCACTGTATTTGAAAACTACATGATTTTTTTCCAGATTATTAATATAGTTCTTTGTTTAGGAACAGGAACACGTAGCCGACGTTCACGTTCAGTGACTGCTAGCCCTAGCAGGCCTTCAAAATCACTGAGATTTTCACGGGATAAAACCGACGAATTAGACCAATCGAGTACCTCCAAAGATATCCAAAAGAAAACACGTAAATTGAGAAGAACAAGAAGTGCAAGCGTAGACGAGGTAGTGGCGTCTCCTAGAAGATCTTTACGTCGCAGTAGTGTCGATGAGAAATCAGAAGACAGCGCTGAAAGTCAAAAGTTGAGAATTAGAGGAAAGACCACTTCCGTGTCCCAGTTGCCTGTTATAACAGAGGAAGAAAAAGATAAACATAAACCACGTGCTAGAAACAAAGCAAGTAGTGTGGAAAATTATACAACCACCAGAAGGCTGACAAGACGTCAGGCCAGTTTCATAAAGGGTGTAGAGACTCCATCTAGTGTCACTGCACAAGATGATAGCGATACGGAAAAACTTGTAGACGTTGATGCTATTGATCCCATTACTCTACTGCATAAGGAGCCATTCCAAGGTAAGGAAAAGTACTGAAAATATATTTTTTTTTTCTGTACAAGATGTAATTTTAAGTGGGAGTGGATCAAGATGAGATTTAACAGCATTCTCCTAATTGGGCGCTCGCTTACGGTTAGCCTGCGCGGTTTTCTGGAATAACCAGCCATTCCAAAGGTGGATTATGATAATTACGAAAAAAAGATATCAGTTTGCACGATTTTCTAAATTTCAAAGGTTATCTCCGTATAAATATGATCCCCATTCAAAGTTACACCCTGCATAAGTATAAAATAAAATGATTCACAAATTTATTTTATCAGTTTCATTTCATTTTGAATGTTTAGGCCCTCCTGATCCCGACGAAGAAAAAATTTATGAACCTTCCTCACCGTCTAACAGTACAGCTAGTTCCTTCAACAAACCCGTCAGACGTGCCTCCAGGTCAGCTTCTATGACATCCGATTCATCTGCTCCACCTACCACGCCAAAAAGGAAGACAAGGCAACATTTAAGAGTGGACAGTCCTTCTCCAGTGGGTAAGGTTTTAGAAACCTGTCTATATTTAGATGTGCACCTGCTGTGTATATATATTTCAGGAGTAAAAACAAGATCTAGAAAACAGTCCGAGACAAGTTCAGTAACTTCCGAGAAGTCAGATCCCCCCAGCCCTGCCAAGAGATCAAAAAGGAGACATAGTTCTAAAGAACCTGAAGAGACTAACAGTACAGCATCTGCTCCTGTCTTGACAAGAAGTACCCGAAGTAGAGCTAATTCCACCTCATCGGTTAAATCGGGTAATTAAATGAATCAAGACAAAATTTTACTGTGGGCATATTTACAACTTGATATTCATTTTTAGATACATTAAATTCTCCTAAAAAGAAACCGAGAAATCGTCGATTAATTTCAGCAAAATCTGACCTTCCTGAAATTACAGAAGAGAAAAACAGTGAAGCGGTGAGTTTAGTCATTACCATCTAGATTACCGTTGTGAATTAAAAAGTCAACAAAACAAAATAGAAATTCGTATCATTCCATATTTAAAGTTCATATTACAGGCTTGTCTATAAATAAAACACAACTGTTTTATATTAAATGTATTATAAACTATGTCGATATTGTTGATCGACTCTGTCTATCAACATTGTTGACCGATGAATCGAAAAGAGTTCACCTGTCTACACCAAGGAAGCAGAAAAGGAGAAGGGCCTCTAAGGCCGGTTTTCGGCCCCATTTGTTTTTTTTCGCCAGTAAGTATAGGTCATAAACAGTCGATTTGACCCTAAACGGAACCTCAAATACACCCCACCCCCCCCTTTATTCAGTCCACAGTCCTATACCCTCCACAGTCCCTATGATAAAATAATAGGGTAGCATAAACGCCTTGTATGTGACTATTTGCCAGACTACTACCCTTGAGCCCTTTTACATATTAATTCGCTCATACCCTGACCCCCCCAAACAGTACCCCTCCCCCCCGCTGATTTTATTGAAACTACTCTTAGCGTTACCCAGAAACAACGACGTGGACGTGGTAGGTATTTGTTTCTTTTGGGGTGTTTTATTAACGTGAGTCTCCTTGCCTCTCACTGGGGTGCTTTATTAACGTGAGCGGGGGGGGGGGCAGGGTATGAGTGAATTAATATGTAAAAGGGCTCAAGGGTAGTAGTCTGGCAAATAGTTAGTCACTTACAAGACGTTTATGCTACCCTATTATTTTAACATAGGGACTGTGGAGAGAATAAGGGGGGGGGGGGTATTTGAGGTTCCGTTTAGGGTCAAATCGACTGTTTATGACCTATACTTACTGGCGAAAAAAAAATTTTTTTTTTTTAAAAACCAAAACGTTTAATGAAGATGACGCCATTATTGCCTGTGCCGCATTTGTTATTATCACCTCTAAAAAAAGGATAACATGGCGTAAAAGGTTTTGGCTTCGACCAAGTCTTCAGAGTAGAAATCGGTACAGTGGTAGTAATATGATAGAAGATTTAAAAAGGAGTGATATCAAAATATTGAACCTTGAATACAGATCTAACGGTGGTTTCAGAAATGGTTTTTGAATGTCGGAGGGTGAATTTGAATGTTTGTTGCAAAAAATCGGGCCAAAAATTTGTAGCAAGACAGATTTGTTTTTATTTGTACGTTTTATAAACGCTATCACCTTTTCTTTCTCCCATTTCATTTTACCGGTAGATAGGGTAGGTACCTAGAAACGACGAGAGACGTCACGCTCAAATCTGTTTTTCGATGTCGAACGTCAAACGCCGAGTAGCACTCTGGATTCGATTTGACTACCCCTTGATTTTACCGACAGCTCATGGAAAAACCGGTCAACAGGTCGATCGACAAACTCGATTGTATCGTACACACTAAGTCGACTGTGTCGACAGACAGAGTTGATCGATAATGTCGACTCAGTGAGGACGTGCCTTTAGATTCAGTTTAGCCATTGAATAAATGTGCAGTGGGGGATGTAACATATTTTATAATAAATAGAAATTGGCCTTTGATTGGTGTTGTAAAAATTTCCAATCTCTATTTAATCAAACGACACAAAAATGGGCGGGGCTAGAGAAAAGCAAGTAATGGTGGGGGAGTAATATAAAGCTTTCAACTTTATGAATTCTCAGTCTTATGAATTTAAGTTAGAAATATACTTTTTAAAAGGTTTGCTGTTGCCAAACTTGCCAGTTGTAATAAACTAAGCCTTGTGTTGCATTCTTCGATATTTTTCTTATGTAAAATAGAGTTTGGAAATGAAAACAACAACCTTTTTTTATTTTATTAGATACTGACACTGAAAAAGAAATTTTAATGAATAACCCTTTGCATCAAAAACATCCGTCATGGGTTGATTTTATAAATTTAATTTTGCCTAACCAAAAGTATCTTCAAAAATAATAATCACTATAACGCATTACACAGTTTACGTTTCGAAAAACTATATTTCCGTTATCAAAACATTTATTTTCAAATTATTTAAAAGTCAAATGTGACACTTTCTCGGAGTACGATATTTTTGGTTAGGTAAAACTAAATTTATAAAATAACCTTTTGGCTAATCCCTGTGAAGCAAAGGGTTATTTATCATTTTTTTTATTTTTTGCCATGTGGTAGAAACACCCAATCCAAATAAAAAAGTAACTGAAAATGCCATAAATAAATAATTACAAACAATTTCAAAAACAATGTTTTAGAATACAGTAATACTCCGACTTACGCTACCCCGTCTTACGCGAATCCTGAATTATGCGATTTTTAAATCTCGTCGATTCGGCATTTATTTGAGCAACGCGCTACTATCGTTTCTTCACTCCATCCACACGTGTTCGGTTTACGACGTGTTGATATGTTTAGCGCGAATTAGACGTATAACTACAAATTATTATTTTGTGTTACACAGTGTTACACTACATATTGTGTGTTCGTTGTATCTCCGGAGACTTAACAGACTTTACTATGTCATCCAAACGAAGTAACAAATATCGTACGGATGTAATTTTTATGTATTTATATGCAAAATTGTACCCCGACTTACGCAAATTCGACTCACACGGTTATAGCTCAGTCCCACCTATTGCGTAAGTAAACATAACACACTACAGAAATGAGACAACCCCCAAATCCAAAAGCCAAGGGCTTGTGCGGAAGGGGGCTACACTTGAAAAAACGCGGACAAACACCCATTATCCATCGACATTGCCAGTGCCGACACCGGGGATCAAACCCGGACCAGAGTAGGCAGCCTAGCCGAGAAATGCTTGCCACCGCACTCTCGACGGACTGCGCTACCGTGGCGATAAGTTCGGGGTATTACTGTATATTAAAACTACCATTTGTGGAAATATGTAAGTGAATTGGCCAAAGTGACATCTGTCTGTTATGGAATAATGTGAGCGTTGGAATTGACAAGTACCGAACAATATAACTTTTATTATTATTATATTTTTATTACTTCCTTCGCATAAACGTTCATAGCAGTTGGATTGCTCTTTTTTATTAAACAAATTAAGCTAACAGCAATACGTGTCCACTTCTGTTGTGTATAATTAGAGGCTAACCAAACAATCATATGGTTAGTAAGATCACGATGATCACTAAACAACAGCACATCAAATGAGAGGTAATCTAGATGGTAATAGTTCAGTTGATATTTTCCTTACACTAAAATTGTGCCAATCAAATTTATAGTATTTCAATTCTCATTATGTATTTTTTTTTTTAATTTCAGGGCGGCTCCAATGAAAAGTCCACCATAAAAAGGCATACAAAGAAGAAAAGCAGTTAGAGTGTTAATTTTAAGCTAAACGTGTACCAGAGATATTTTGTTTTTGTGTGTATAAAATGCAGATATAAATAACAAATTGGTTTTTATATAACTTTGTTGTATAGTTTTATAAAAATTGATGAAAATTAAATATTTCATTTTAAAATTTAAAGTCCTTATACCATTACCAACATAACTTGTTTCTGCGGCCTACTGAATAATAATTTGGTGCCCTCTCTCCCGCCCAAGTCTCCGTCTTCCAGGCTAATCCTTGTGAATAGAATAAGGGGTAGAGATATTATTATTATTATTATTAGTATTAAGTATTGGATTTCATTTTCATTTTAATATTTTGCTAAACAAAATTCTAAAGGGCGTTTAAGCTAAAAATTACTATTAAACCGAGCAAATTGGACAATAATCAGATAGTCACACCAAAAGATTTCTTTTTCAAAATTAATAAAGGCACCCAAGAAAAAAACAAAACTAAAAGAAAAATAATCCCAGAGAAAAAATTATATATGCTCACCACAGCCAAACTGTAAAAGACATTAATGAGACTTTTAGAAACTTTTTTTGGATAAAAAATGGCTCACCAGTACCATAATGAACCCCGAATCAACAAAGTTTAAAAATAATTCTATAAAAAGGAGGGTTAGTAGAGGAAATGAAACACTGAACCTCCGAAATCTGTGCAGTAAGATGGATCATGATGTGGTTTTTTGCATTCGATTCGTCCAGCGTCCAGAAAGTTTTTGACCCTATGTGATCAATGAAAAATGAAAATTTCATCGGTGCATAAGAAAAATGCATTTTTAAAATTGTATCTCGAAGAGATAAAATATGAAAAAATTATAACTCAGAAAATATTGACAGAAATGAGTTCAATTTTGCTACTTGGGGGTTTTTGGGGTCGCTGAACACGAATATCACGACGGCAACGGTCTCCGAGGTACCTAGTGCCCAGGGTGACCGATTTTCACGTCGTGTCTTGGAGTTTTGTGGAAATTCATTATAAACTTAGCCGAAACTCGTTACCTCTGGGTTTTTGAGGTCGCTCAGCACAAATATCATGACGGTAACGGTCCTCGAGGTACCTAGTACCCAGGATGGCTGGTTTCTGTGACAACTATTTTATTCTTAATTATTTTTTATTATAAAAATACATTTATTCATTACAAAATATACATATTTTCAAAAAATATTATACTTACGATATCTTTACAATTTAAATTTTTCTTATTTAATTTTTTTAAATTTTCATTATTATCTTCATTTAGTGTTTCTAGTTCCCAAGAAAATATGTCATTTGCAGATTATTTTTCATTATTCGCACAATTAATATGCTTATGAAGATGACATCGGTACTTCGGAGACCATTACCATTGTGATATTCATGTTGAGCGACCCCAAAAACCCCGAGGTAACGAGTTTCAGCTAAGTTTATAACGAATTTCCACAAAACTCCAGGAGACGACGTGGAAACCGGCCACGCTGGGCACTAGGTACCTCGGATACCGTTGCCGTCGTAATATTCGTGTTCAGTGACCCCAAAAAACCCCGAGTAGCAAAATTGAACTCATTTCCGTCAATATTTTAAAAATTATAAATTTTTCATTTATTAACTCTTCGAGATGCAATTTTAAAAATGCATTTTTCTTATGCACCGATGCAATTTTCATTTCTCATTGATCACATAGGGTCACAAACTTCTGGACGCTCTAACGAGTCGAATGCAAAAAACCGCATCACGATCCATCTTGCTGCACAGATTTCGGAGATAAGGTCGTTTTTAGTGCTTTATTTCCTCAATTAGGTATTTTTATATTAAATTCTAAAATTCCATATCAAATTTTACTAAAATAACTAAGTGTCTGTTACTTTAAGAAAATTTTTGAAAGCCTGTTAACTTTTTAAGAAAGCAATATTGCAACTAAGGTAATTTCATCCAAGGAAGTTAGCCTTGAAATGTGGTTCATTAATTATGGGATGGGATACCCTGTATAATAACACTTATTAGTGCGCAGCTGTAAACTTTTGACATCATCCATAATTGACCGTACTGTATATTTTACCCTTGTCATTAAAGGTACTTTTCATTTTTGACAATATATTTTTTCCATGTCGCATTATGACCAAAAAGAAAAAGAAAAGTGTTTTCAGTGCCTGTTTCTCTTGTTTTAGTAGAGTACCTATAGGGTGCGACGAGTTAACGTGCCCTGATTTTGTCGGTGATATCACGGATTTTGAATACATCGTAGAAAACATGAGTATAAAGAAAATTCCAAAAAAATTCCTAAATGAGACTCCAGTTTCAGCTCCAACAAACAATAACGTAGAGGAAAAAGTTGAAAATAAGAGAGACTTTAATGGACAAATTATTAGAGAAGTACCACCAGAAACATGGATTGGACCAGTAACGGAAGCCGAAGATGCTCCGTTTGATTTATCCAGTTCCGATAATTTAAGTGAAGATCAAAAGTTTTATAAACCTAAGTTCATGGCCGCACCTATATGCATGATATGTGAAAATCGCCCTCCACTTAAAAGACCCGGTGTAGCCAAAACATTTCATGCTCGGACTAAACATATACTTGATGAGTTGACAGTTAAAGAATTATTAACACCGCATGCTACATTAATTCAAAAAGATGAACCGCAAAAACAAAAGGTAATGTAGTCTAATAAATTTGTTACTCAGAGTACTAATTTTTTTCAGATTGATGAAACGCTACTCAATATTTTATGCAATTGCACAAAATCATATTTAGATGGAAAAAATGTATTAAAAACATAATTTTACTATCCATTTATTATTGAATTTTTCTAGAAAGGTTATAGCAGATATTCATGAGAGTAATGTAGAAGAGGATACTGAAAAATATTTGCAAAATATTCCTCCAGAAATAAAAGAGACGATTGACGCACTAAAAGTAGCTAGACCTTTTAATTCAAAATTTTCATCGAGAAATCATAGGATTTTAGTTCAATCGTCCTCAAACACAAGTTGTGACAAAGGCACATTTTGTAACCTTTCAGGTAATTACTTAATTTCAACTATTGATAAAATGTATATTGTGATACGTTGTGATGCAATTGTTATTTGATTGCAGATGAAAAGTTTATTGTAGAGGAAGAGAAGCCTCAAAAGATTCTGACAGCGAAGAAGCGTTATATTTCACCCAATAAAATTGATGCTAGTTCGTCTACTTCAGATTTCCAAGAAGTAAGTAATATATGGGATGTTATAAAAAAACAAGTCAGGCGGTTAATGCCCAAATTCTTTGGAAGAAATATAATAAGTTTTTCATTTTGAGTGTGGGTGATATATAACCTACAAAGTATAAGTCACGTCTTAAAATGTCATTACTACTCGATGTCTACTAACATTATTTGTACTTACTCACTAATGGCTTTACACGGGAACAGTCAACTAAATTTTAAGTCACTTGAACCTATTTGAACAGCGCATATGTGGTAAGTAACAAGTTATGGAGCAAGTAAAAATTTAGTACACGAATAGAATTTATTCTATTTTTTCGTGCAAGTTGACGACTTGCACCGAACTTTTCCCTCCTGCTGATCCACTTTCGCTCCAAAAGTCGTTTAGGTCTATTTTTCTCTTCATATATTTCTTCATTTATTTCTTCTAATATAATATTTAGGATATCTCGTAGTATGCCATTAAATTCTTCTACAAACTGCTGCCTCACGTTCATCTCGTCAGGTTTGCAAATATTTATAAACCGCACTAGAACTCGCCAACAACTAAACTTAGAACTTACCAGTGCGAACAGCACTTGCAGAAAAAGCAGTAACTTAAAATTTAGTTACCGCTTACCTACTGTCCCCGTGTAAACAAGCCTTAAGGGTGACCTACTAATCTGTAGATGCTATGGAAGCACGACTTGTTTTTGCACTAGGCAAAATAAATTAATGGTATTGTGGGAAACAAGTGCACTGTGAGTTATGCTCAAAACATGTACCAATACATACAAAGTAATGTTGCAAGCAGACAAATAGCAATATATGACGTATACTTTGTAGGTTATATCTCACCCACACTTAAGCCCACAAATATCGGTAGATAGACATCCAAATGGCTAAATCATTTGTTGGTACTCCCACTTATTAAGGCATACTGATGGCAATAATTAATAAGTTTGAAATCTGTCTTTTTGGTGATGCTTATAACGAATCTTATATGACATTAGCTATTTAGTGACAACGGAGGTGATTCAGTCCTAACGTACATGTCTACCATAGCTCGCCGAGTAATTGTTTTCCACAATATAATTACTTAAAAAGGAGTTTTCTTATGCTGTTTTTTATTCAGACACCTCTTTTCTAAAGCACAAGATGTTAACATTTAAAACAATATTTTTAATAATAATTAAATTGGTTTTTAAGATATTCAGTTGAAAATTTGTACGAACTTACCTATATCGCATACTGATATACTTATGTATAATTATGCTTAAAAAAAATCGATGGGCAGATAATTTATTTTATTCTGGTATAGTTCATCACCTAGCTATAAGAGAGACTGAAATATTAAATGTCAAATATACACAGAGTATACCAGCATTGAATAAAAATTGTGCAAAAATACATCTTAAAAATAATGGAGCTATTAATACTTATTTATTGAAACTTTGACTCCGTTTATCTTGGAAAAGAGGGGGCTAACTGAAAATGGCATAAGAAATGTTCCATTATTTTGCCCAAAGGATGTTGATAAAACACAAAGTAAGGATAATCTTTTGATGCATCATCATTCATCATCCACATAAAATATGTTTTGTCTTCACAATCTTCACATTTCAGACTGCCGAATACAACAGAACTACTTCTTCTGACCTACAGTCTTCTGAAAAACCAGAAGAAAATGATTCAGTTCAAATGCAAAGTCTAAAATGGAAGATTATAATTAATAAACATAAAAAAGGTATTTAATAACTGATGATGTATAGTTTTAAAAATTAATATTATTTCTCATTCCAGATCTGAGCTGTTAAATAAATTCTGATAATAATAATTATTACCTATAAATGTATTATTTTATAAAAATAAAAACAGAAACTTAAGTACCTATATTACTGTCAATTGAATTAACCATGAACAGTCATATAAATGCCATATCTAATCAAATTGATTTTTTATTTTGAATAGTAATAGTATATGGACAAAAAAATTAATAGGTGAAATACTTAAATAATTATAACTACAGGGTGTCCCATAATGAATTGTACATAGAGTAACAGGTGATTTGTGACATAATAAAATTTGGCATAAACTAGTTTTGAAAGCATTTTTCATTGGCTATAGCCCACGTAGCCATACAATTCATTATGGGACGCCCTGTATACTTATGATTTAAAATAACTCATATACAATTCTAGATATGAGAACATTGTGTTTGGCTAACAGAAGGAGATACATATAGATGTACCGTTTCATAAAGCCTAGTATACTTTAAATGTTTTTTTTCCAGATAGTTTAGGAATTATTGTAGTTACGGAGTTTTTCAGAAAATATGAACTGATATATTATTGAAAAAAATTTGTTTTAATTGTGGTATAAACATTATGAAATAAATTAATTAATTATACCAGTTTTAAATTTTAGTAGCAAGAATATTACTCAATAATAAATATTTGTGAACCATACACATCAAATGCATACAGGAAACAACGTAGTAGCTATTTTGCCTGTTAAGGTGCAAAGAAGCAAGTTTCTCTAAAAAATGTTAGAGATGCAAATCACGCACCTATTCGATAGTTGCAATTTAAAATAATGGAATTTGGTTAATGTTTAACGCCATCCAGTAGTTATGTTTGCAATCGAGTAATTACAGTTTTCTAGGATTGTTATACAAAATGCAAAACATTTTTGGGTGGTCTATGGATTAAATATTTGAAATATGAAATCGATGCTTTTACTGTCATACTATTTTTACCCCTATTACTTTTCCAGTAATTACCCACACATTGACAACCCTAGTTACCATAATTTGAGATTCACTTTACTCGCTTGTCGCATATACAGGGTGTTTTGGATCAAGATAAACAAATTCAGGGACTCGTAGGACATTAAAATTAAGATTCTTTTCTGTAGATCAAGACTAGGTTGTCAAAGTTATTTTTTTTAATTAAACTTTAGTCATGTCATTTCCAAAATAACATGTATTGAAATATGGCACGGGCAAATTATTGAGGGTGTTAAAAAGTGTTCTAACACCCTCAATGGCGTTTACCACCTGCTAGAGGTCACTAGCTATGGTCTTACCTAGTGGTGAAATAAGGCATTTTTCGCGACTGAATATTGACTGACTTGCAGTTACTATTTCTATCTTTTAGATCTTAGTTGTCATATATCAGTTCCTAGCGGGCAGCCGACCAGAGCACACGTGTTTTGTGAAAGTGTAGTGCAAGGAGCAAATTCTACCTGCCTTTATTAAGGCTACCTGGAAAGAATCCCTTTCTTTCCTTTTAATCACCGACCTAATCCCCGGCTTAAGCATAGACGCCGTCGGCATCTTTGTTACAGCACCTGTGCCGGGGTTATGCCCAGGTAAGTTTTTACTTATTTATCAGTTATTTGCATTACTTTAGAATACATTTCTTTAAAATTGCGACCCCCGACAAACAATATACCAGACAGACAAATACACCAAAAGACACGTACGCCCCCGTGAGGGGGCATCCCCACACGACTAACACTTACACACCTTCCCCCCCACACACACATACACACACACAC